ATAGATTGGAATATTTTTGATATGGTTTCTCTTTTATTAAATAAGTTTTCATTTGAGTACAAATTTAAGAACTATGTTAAACCTTAATTTAACTACAAGCAACATTGTAATATTTTGAAAATTAGGGGAAGCTTTTGAAGTCTGTTGTATGATTGAGTAGTTTGGAAAATATTATGTCATTTTTCCAATCATTGTTTCCTTTTAATCGATTGTAAACTTGAAGCTCGTCGATCAGCTCCAGACCCCCAGTGTTTACCTAACAATCCCTTCGGGAAGATCGGTATGAGTTTGATCAACGATCCATCCCCTAGCAAGGAAACTTTGATAACCTGAACTTTACTTTTTGATGTTTCACAGCTTTCTGAACGACCTCCATAAGATTATCAGACAGTTTGTGGATTTTTATCTATTTTCTGTTTCGGTTTCTTTGAATTTTTTCGGAAATTTGTTTACAAATTTCAGCATTCTTTTTACGAAACATTAAACAATCTTTTTCCATTTTGTACAGTTTTCATTTACATCTATGTCTAAAATGGATGAAACAAGAATATAAGAATAGACAAAATTCAATATTCAAAATATTCCCATTTGAAAGATTGTTTCTCGTTTGATTTTAAAAGCAATATTAAGCTTTGAAGAATTTTCTGGTTATCAAAGTTCCCTTGCGTCGACTAACATTCAACCGAAGACTGTCTCGTCTCTTAACAGTTTTCGTCTACCGAAACTAACCGTCTGTCTTGTGCTTTTGTTAATTCTCGTACTTGTCTTCCCTGCAGCCTCGAAATGCCCTCAATCTGGTGATTTCTTTCAGATCTAAAAGCGATACTACCGAAACCAGCGAAACCGCTCACGAGGAGGCCGAGCCTGCGATCTAAATATCCTAAAGAACGAACCGAGATCGCGATTTAAGTGCCCTGAAAACAAAAAGACAGACACACGCATGCGCATTTTGTTACACACACAATGAACACACGCAGACACAGATTTACACAGACAGAGCCGATCATTATTTTCGAGAGAGGGTTTTTTTACACGAGCTAACGAAGCTATTTATTCAAGACACCAATGAACAAATGCATAACTGGAGGAAATAAATCGATTTGTTTGGTACAACGAGGCTTGATATTCGACAATTTTCTCGATCCTCCAGCTACGACGATTTTCCCGATCTCTTCGATCTTCATCCCTCTTGTCTTCCGTACAGAGTGAGTAACAATTGATTTCTAAAGTGACATGCTATTTATTGACTTCAGCAAATATTGTTTTGTTATGAAATAAAACGAATAATAAAAATTTCCTTATTGTTACGTCACACAGATCCGAGTCCGCGATCATACGAAACAACGTACGCCATTCCGTGATTCTTTACACAAAGCTGTGTCCTCTTAGGTTATTTAACATAATTTGAAATGAAGAAAAAATTTCTTTCACCTGTGATCCATTAATATTTGGTGTTTACAGAGCATTTAAAATTGACGATTCTAAATCCACTTTTAAAATTGATTTGAAGTGTTTGTCCAACTGAAATTAATACCGTTTATTTCGTCATAGTGAAATCTACGTACGGGGTGGCCTGAAAGTTTCGTCGCGGTACTTATTTTTCATTTGACTATGAATGATTCTTACAGTAAACGTAGATTCTGAATTTTTCTGAAATGTTTAGTTTAATTGGAATTTTTGTTTTGTTAAACTACGACCACAGCTTTACACACTTATGATACAAAAACTGTATTTGACTTTTGAATTTGTCTTGTTATGGCGAGGAATTAAACATTTTTGTAAAAAACTCTTCGCACAATAGTTTTGTTTTTAAATGATTTCGCATATCCTTAAAGGGAGCTGTCGTTGAAGTCAATAAGTAACAAGCTATTTTGAGAGACAATTGTTTACTCACCCTGTACGTGCAAAAAAAAAATTACACCGGAGTCCTTGAATCAATTCGGTGACCTGTAAATGAAATTTTGTCGATTAAATTATGGACGATCGTCGGTAAAATGAGGTCATGATGATCTGCGAAATGACGTAATGCATTTTCAAATTTCTGTCACTGATTATAACAGTCGCGCAAAAATTTGTATGGTGAAAATTTAGTTATATTCTGCACTTTTCCAATTTTTTTGAAATTTATCAACAAAATTTATATACTGTTTTGTTACGAAAGACAAGGAGAAATGAGTTTCGAAAAAAATTAATTTTATTTTTAAAAAACAATTTTCCATTGTAATATGACATCTCTCGTCCTTCAACTTTTTCTCACGAGTTCTCAACAGAAGTATGTTTTCACGTTTGAATATACTCTTTTTCTCGTGCATTTCATATAATATATTTAAGATTGTCAGCGTCTCCGCGAATACGAATAAAATGGCTTCCCCCTGTTAATTACATAGCTGAGTCACTCAAACGTTCCAGTACTGAAATAACTCTCTCGTTTCCAATATTATAAGAAATATTGCAAGAGGCAATTTGTTTTGTTCGCCGTCATGTGTCGAGAAATAATTTCTTTCAAATAAATGTTATGGTCCTTAAGAAACTGAGATTACTTGGTGAACCTTTGTAACTTGTCATCACAGGAAAATATGAGATACTCTTCAAGTAGTGTGACGTGTCATTTTCTTTCGAAAAAAGACACGCTACATAACAATAAATTCTTTTTTAAACCACTTAAAAGATTCGTTTTTTTCTGATACTCGGAATGAAAAAATGATTTTCAATTAATTGTACTGTGAAAATGAAAAGAAATCGAATTTTGTGGAATAGATAAATGTACAACTAACAATAGGAAGGTGCAACTGCGTGCGAAAGCGTTTCCAACTCTACGATCAGAGGACACACTGACCGCAGCGGTCATCGGCGAATGACTTTTAAAGCTGCGTGTTTTCCAGCTGCACACTCGGGCATATACGCGTGACTTGGAGAACCATATAAATAAACAGTTTTCAAGGGAAAAATCGTTCAGATGCGCACTTTTAGAGTGTTGCGTAATTTCCCCCGATTCTGCGTACTTGTGAACGCGGCGGTGAATCATCCATCACCGAATACACCGGAAGTCATGCCGGTGGCTGAAAAACTGAACGCAGTAACAGGATCGTCGGATTCTTAGTAAATCCGCTGTAAATTTGTAAAGATCCACATTTCTTTAGATGAATATACAAAAACTGAAATTAAATAATTCGTTAAACGACTCAGAATTCTTAATCTAAACGAAAAGTTATGCAACCGAATGAAACTACTTAGTTCAAACGTATGCTAGAACAGAACTCTGTACACAGTCTTTTATTAAAAATGATTGCCTAATTTCCGCTCCTCCTTTAAAGAAAAATTAATAAATTTTAGTACTTTTAAACTTATAGATGAATTCCATCATTCAATGTTCAATTCAGTTCTAAAAAAATTAAAGAAGAATATTCAGGTGATCAGCTTCTTTGGGCATATTTCTAAAATCTTTGGATCTATGGATAAGTTAGAATTTTCAATGTTGCTGTTCTATCGGTCAACTATGAAGGCTGAAAACAGAAAATATTTACATGCTAGATACAAAAGTTCTAACGAAACATCAATGCAAGACTTTCGTTCGACCCTGTCCAACACGTGAATTGCGCACAAACAGTTTCACAATGCCAAATTGCCGCCATATTTTGTATTCTCGTTTAGCGGGGCTGACGCTTCGTTTGCGGACTGCGTCAGCCCCTGTCGATGGCTTCGGGACTCATCCTTGCGGCCGCGGAAACAAGTGCAACGTGGGAATGATACACATTGCTCGAGACCGCATCGAGCTCTCGGGTTTACCAGGTCACTTATCACCTGGCCCAATACGTCACTGTACCATTAGCGTGCTCCCGTTTGACGTCATTGTTTCGTATAAATACTCGAAGAATGCAGCCCAGGGGCATAAACTCGCCACAGATCAGTCCCAACGGATCTACCACCCGCGAAACACTTGAGACTCGTTATCTTACTCTTCAGAGAGTTACTTAGATACTCGTATCGCCTTGCTCATATTTCACGAGAGCCTACTGAGAACTTCACAGAGTTTGAAGTAGCAAGAACCATTCTTTGGACTTCAGCAGAAGAACACCTACATCTACAAAACAAAATGGTAAGATTTGAATAAAGTTACTTCGAAAAGTATTGATCCTGCTTCTGAGAAACTTTGGTTACCTAGAAATCTTAATTGTCTTTCAATTTTGTTGATTGGCTTTGTAAAAATAATCTAATCATATCTGCTTTGCAATATAATATACAAGTTAACGTAAATCATTTTTAACTTAGCGTATTACATCAAAAAAGAATATTTCAAATGATAAAAATACAGAACAATAAAATTTACCAAACAATTAATTTCTTTCTAGAATGCCATCGTGATTTTCTTCTTGGCACTCGCTGGCTGCAGCGTTGCGCTTCCGATCAGGCCATCGAACGATCTTGGGCTTCTTATAGGAGTCCCAGTTTTAATCGAAGATCCAAACACGTCGCAAGGGAAACAGGAAGACGGATCAACCCCGATAGTTTACGGACTTCTCTTAAGCAAACTGGTGGAAACCGACGATAACGTTGACGGTGGACCAATCAAGAAACGCAGCGTAGATGAAAATGCCGCAGCTGATGATCTCGAGACCGCAGCTGGAACGTACGCCCTCCGACCTCTGTTCGTCTACAGGCAACAGTTGGCGTACAGGGAACGCGTCCGAGAAGCAATCCGGCGCGGTAACCGATTCTGATCCGTCAACGACATCGTCGTTGACAATATCGTTGACAACTTCGCAAGAAAATACTTGGAAAGTGATTTGGAAACCAAAGAAACCACCGACCTATCTGCACTTCCACCGCGGCCATCATCTACTCTTTTAGAGAATCTCGATGATTCAGTTTCTGTAAATTTGTCAATTCTCGTCGAGACTCTCAAGAATTTCGAGAGACTTTCTAAGGAGCTTTTAAAGAAGCTTCGTGGATTTTGAAGAAACTCCTGAAGAGTTTCGAAGCACTTGCTTAAAGAAGAGTATTCTTTGAGAAAACGCTAGGATAATATTGCGAAGCATCTAGTGTTCGAGGTTCTTTATCAAAGGAGGAAGAATTTAAGGTCGTTAAATGCTTCGACTTCTCTTGTTCCTGTTACCAACGTTCTCCGTTGATAACGTTTAGAAGACGGAGTACCTTAGAAGCTTATAGTTTGCTCGGTCGAAGAACGCACAATGGCCACCGATACTCGTCAAGAAGTATTGTTCAAGATGGAAGAAGGCCACGCCACTTAGTAAGCCCGTTAGCGAACGAGCATCAATATCTGAGCTGCTAATTCGACGAGCAACAACAGAAGGAGACCTCGTGTATAGTTGACAATAGTAAGTTGCCTCTTCGAGGCAACAGACCACCAAGACAGGGTGCGAAACATTGTACAGCATTTTCTACTCGACAAACTATCTAATTCCTATTATTAATTCAAAACTTGTGTGAATGAGAGAGACTTGTGTGCAAGAATTACCGCGATCAAATAGTTATTAAGTATCTACGTAGACTAAGTGTTTCTTTTATATTTAAGATAGATAAAAAAGCTACCAACCAAAGCAACTTTTGCGGCGCAGCGTCACGTATTTAATGTAACGTATAGTCAATTAACATGGTTACCGTTAATTCCCCTCGAGAACCGACGAAAAACAAGTTTGTGATACGACATATTTTTTTAGCGTTTGTCTAACCGAATAAATTTCTTATGAAAAAATGTTAACCAATTTCTGTTCTCCTTTTCAATACCTTTATTAAAAACAATTCAATTTTATTCAAGATTAATATTATTATCCTGGGAACACGGGAATTCGAATGAAATTCCGTGGGGCGTGGTAGTTGTCTTCGCTTGACCAATACCTTCTTTCCAAAAATGGCTGCTGATGGTACCAACCATCGTACATCGTTCTCCGTTCCGCTCCATCAAAAGTTTCATCAGAATTCAGGTTCCTCTCCTGGCGAAGATCTGTTGAATCCTCCTTAAATTCCTGATCCGCCAAAGTTTCATCGAAGCTTGAATCTTCAGGCTCGATCACCGGGTCATCCACTTCTTGGTCCGCTATTTTGCTTTCTAGAAACTCATTCGTTCGCCTAACGCGTGGGATGGGTAGTGAACCTAGATCTATTATCAACGGTTTTTTGTGATTTCCTTCGTCCCCGTTGCTTCCGGCATCCGTAGTTTGATTTAATTCAACTGTTTCATCGGTAGACAGTATGATCGAAGTATCATCCGTAGGTGATTCTACTACCAAAGATTCACGCTTGTAGAAGATCGGAATGTCCAAAGGATTCACTTCGTTCATAGGATCAGAAGATCCTCTTGAAGAGACTTCAGATAGAGAATTGCTCTTGTCAATCGTTTCTTTAATATTTTTCGTTGTTGCATTAGTTGTAACGTTCGCGTTTGCATCTGACAATACAAATTCCATCATGGCGGAGCGTAACAATGGCGCTGGACTCGTTCGATCGTTGATGTCCCTGCATTCGACCAGCTCTGCGGATTTCAACAGCAGGATCGAGCTAAGGAAAAGAACAAAATCCATCTTGCTCGATTTACTCTGATCGGTCACGATACGTGGCAAGTTCGGGTGTCTAGGCGGAACTAAGACACAAGGAAGCGGCGCTCCCACTTTTATAGCTGCCTGTATCGAAGTACTTGCTAAATCGATTGCTAAACATTGCGACATTGTTAACGACATACTAAACGTAACCTACTCGTTTCGGAAGATCTACAATGATCTAGAACAATTCTTGTACGCGTTTGTTAGATACGCTGATGACATCATGTTTCAGTGTAAAAGTTTTTTCTCAGACGAATTGGAAGTAGGATATCGTGAGTGGAATTGTTCTAAATTCTGAGATGCTAAGTTTGTTTAATGTTTAACTTGAATCACATTTTACTACATTGTTTCGTCGACTTAAGTCTGGAATCGTCAATCAGTTCCACGGCATTCGCAAGCATTAGTCCTAACATTAAATCCATTTTCTTCGGTTATATAAGTAAATATGAAATAAATTCTTTCTACATCTACAGGGTTTTAAATGTTTGTTTGCTTAAACAAAATCATTCGATTCAGAATGAAGATATTTTTATTAAAATTTGTCTCAACACTAGCTTAATAATCAAGGCCGGGTCTGCAGCCTTCGATACACAATTTCACGGTCATTATCATAAAAAGGACACAACAAGCAATAAATTGAAACGCAGGTAACAGGTTCAAGGTGTGTCGTCCAAAGTTATGTACCGCAAGGCTGATACTCACGTCTGTTAGCAGGACATCGATAATTCTTTCGGTACCTGGTATAAAACACGAACAGACCGTTATCACTGGCCAGACACGAAAAGACGTTTGACGGAGATTCAGCAAAAGGAACGGAGAACCAAGAAGAGGCTTTGACTGTGATCACCGGTGGCCGAAGGGATGGAACGCAAAATGGTACCGGGGTATGGCATATCGAGCGCTGTTACGCGATACTCACAATAAATCGCGTGAACAGTAGCTAACGTCATTAATTATTACTTGAGAATATATTGTTCGATGCGCAATAGATGAAAAAGAGTTAAAGTAGGGGAGAAATCTCTAAAGTTTCTTGGAAAAATTAATATTCTAAAAAAACGCAAATCATCGGCGTCTATTGTCTAAGTAGTGATTTTACAATTTTGTAAAATATTGTTAAAACAGGCCACTATACACTCGAGAATTTTTGCTCGTTTTATCGGATGACTCACTATTGCGTGACAGCGCTCGGATATTCGTAACAGAATTCATTTCAACATCATTCCACTTATTATATTCGTATTTTTATCGTGATATCCATGTTTTTACGATTGAAATAATTTATTTACTGTGCCAACAATTTTATAATTCAAAACGAGATACGTGTTTTCAGTTTGGAATGTTACAAATTGTTCTCTGCGCGATCTTGATACTTCACGGAGACGTTTCATTAGCGAAACCATTGGACCCTGAAGACTTGGAAGGCCTACTGCCACCGACGCCACAAGATAAGAACGAAACTATTGCCGCGATCGTTCAGGATCCGGTCGTCCAGGACGCAGTGCAACAAACAGCCAGTAACAGCTCGTTGAATGGACTCGTCGTTAAACGAAAAGTTTACATTTTACCAGCTAACGATCCAAACAAGGTTCGTATAAGTACACGATGCACACATGGTATAGTGACGGGCATCGTGTATTTTACATGTAGACATCATGCAATAAATATTACGTTAGAATAGGCATGTTTTCTATTCGAAATTATCAAAATTCTTTAATATACTATAAACTTATTAAGATTAGGTATAACTATTTCTTACTACATTTAAATCGAAACTATTGTTCACATTAATAAAATCTGTAGTCTAATTAACATATGCTAAAAAAAAGGACATATGATTCACTGATTTTGTGCATTTCAATATGATATGTACTCTGTTTCTAACGAAAGTCCAAAATCGTTGCAATGTATTTGCATGTTCGCTCGAAACGAATGAACTAAAATTAAAGTTATTTGAATTACTTGAATTAATCAAAATGTGTGAATCTGTTTCAGATACTCTCAGCTCGGGAGCATATTTTGGTAGTCCCAACCGAGAATTTGGAAGATGTTCGAAAAAATATCACGGAAGCGAAACAGGCAGAGGTTGAATCCTCTTCGATGGACAGCCAGTTATTGGTTGAAAGCGACACGGATGACTACATGCCTCAGGTAGAAGATAATAATTCAATAGGTTCGATCGTTTCAGATACTTATCTATGCTAGTTCACGACACAACGTAATGGCCTGATTACGTAACGAAATGTATGAAAATTATAGTAACGATATGCTTTTGCATTGTCACACGTCGATCGTATAATTTCAATACGTTCTACCGTTCTTTGATTACTGATATTCAATGACTTTAATATAATCATGGATAACATCAAATTAAGCCAATTCAGTTAAATTAAATTAAACTAAGTAATCTGTTATGTTTTCGTGAAAATTTCACAAAATTACTTCGAATCTCTATTCTTTAACTCTTTCACTTACGTCCTATGAATAAAAAATTTACACGAAACTATTATAGTACTAAAGCTTAAACAATCAAAGAAACACTTTAGAACCTCCATTTTTTAAGTAAAATAACATTTCGTCTATCACTGTTGAACCGAGTGACAACTGTTCACGTAACAAAATAAGTAATTACACTGGTTGTCTAATTACACTCGATTTTGGTTTTCAGAGTGATGCGATCTTCGATTCCCAAGAAAACGAAAATGCGGCGGACCTGTCCCCATCGTCGATCCCGGAAGCGAACGTAGAACAGATACCGGTAAACAAGAATCAGAAAATCGACACCAAATTCTTGGAAGACAAACTAAGCCAATACACACCGGCTCCGGATGACGAGTCAAAGAAGATGGCTGTCCCCATTGTGGCGGTCATCGACCCGTCTACCGCTGACAAGGGCAAGGTGAACGCTCCGATAGTGGCGATCCTGCCAAATCAGTTGTCTAGCAACACCTTAAACAACCACGTGCAATTCTTGGCGGAAAATAGCGACAAGATCCAGAATAAAGCGCAGAGTTTCGTCGATCAATCATCGTTGACCGTTAATCCTGATTATTGGAAGAGTTCGACGACCGCGTCGGAGGTAAACCCAAGTCTCGTTTACAATGAGATTTTATAAAACCAAACTTAATATCGACAGATTTTTATATAACGAATTTCTTTGCGTTGGAGATGTTCCGTTATTTATGGCAGTCACAAGTTTGAAGCAAAAAGAGAACAAGAGATAAATAGATTATTTCATGATCGTGTTATCATACTGCTGCTAATCGGTTCAACAGTTAAAAACGGTTGTGTGTATTGAACTTCAAATAGCAGAACAGGTAGAAGGTTAATGAGCTCCACATTGTTTTTTGAATCAATTGCACCTGTATGTTGATTTGCATGGTTAGTAACAGTTTTACTTACGTAGCGCCAATTAATCAAATCGAGTTTTTGTGTACAAATTGTTAATGAATTTAGTCAGTAATACTTTTCTTGATAATTAGTCAACACTGTTCTCTCATACACGATTTAAACTATTCTTTATTAGTGTATTTTCCGCGTCTTCCGTTTATGCTTCACACTTTTTCAATAACAATTCAACAGAAATTTTTTGTAGAAATTAGTAGAAACTCTTAATAGAGACTAGTAGAATTTGAATGTACATACAAGGTAGTTCTAATAAAGTACAAGTAGCAAAGCAGTCGCGTCTTTTCTTTCACGTTCCTTCATCCGACGAAGAAGTCACTAACAAAATGGCGACGGTATCGACTAAAAGAACGATATATAAAGCCAATAATTTAAAAAAATATATTGTTTTCAGATCACAATCGTCCCATCGACGCAGGAGGCAATGCAAGTGTCATTGTTACCGGAAGGATCTTCAAATTTGGTGAACGAAGAAGTTTTCTTGACGCCTGTCGCGGTCCCGCGATGGGGCATCGTCGCGCCATTTTTTCCGAATCACGGCGAATATCCGCGTGACACGGAGGACATGGACGTCGCCGAGGATATAATCTTCAGGCCGTTGTTTAGGTATCGGCAGGAGACCCAAGGAAGATCTAGTAACCGAAGATACGGCTACAGGTCTCCTAGTTACAATTACTACCCCAGACGTGGTTCTTATTACGGATCCTACGATGATTATTAAAAATTCGAAATGAGAATTTTTAGAATGGAAGTTTTTGGATAATCGCGTTTTTTTTTAATACTGTAAGTGTATTGTACGCAATAAGGTTCAGCAGTGTCCGGTTTAACCCTAATTCGTCAGAAAAGATGGAAATTTTATTATTTGTATAATATTAATATTTATTACTTGCATATCATGGAAGAAGAATATTTTGTTCCATTTTTCTAGAATGAGTCAAGGTTACTAGGACTTCCCGGATCTTATTACATAAATATAACGTTTGTAACTGTGTTTAAGAAAGTGTTTCCTTATTAAATTCCTTTTTAATTCTCCTTTATTATATATTTATTATAAATTGATCAATAGACTGCAGATTTTATACGTTTACTGTTTATGCGAAACAAAATAAATTGAATGTTGGAGAAAGTAACTTCTTTTCATTACTTATTCTCTGGGATTTTACCAATATAAAACACGAACTAACACAATTCATTTATCAATTGCACAGGGGATACATATTAAATTTAAACCGCTCCTCAATATTATCATAAGAAGAGTGTAATAAATCACTCTAATTGGCGCATTCGACATTTTTTAAAGAAACTAAAGAAACATGATTGCTCGACAACTTCCGGCTAACTGTCTCAAAAAAGGAACAAACTTTACATTCCCCGAGAACTCACCGGTGACCGATAGCATTACAAATATTCCTTTCATACGTTATTGCTTCTCCAATAAATCATCATTAATGTATTCGACCTTAATCAGAAAAGAAATACGGTTCAAGAGTTTCCTGTAATTCCGCGGCCATGCCTATTCCTGTTTTTACCGGCTAGACGCGCGGAGATTGATGTCGCTACGCAGGAATTTTAGAATCGCGATAGAATAGAAAAATTCCATCAACAGAGAAGGAGAAGAAGAAGAACAAGACTTTTTCGCGAATTCCAGCCTGCGTGTCCGACCTAGACCCACATAATCGTCGCGGCGATCGATCGGTTGTCGGATATAACTGAGGAAGATTAACGATGTTTGCGCTCGTTAAACCGCGTTCGACGAACGATCGTGGAGCCAGTTATTCCGCGAACGTATTCCGTGACGGGCATCGTAAGCCTCAATTAACGCGACATCGTTAACACCCCGAAGCGGAATCGGTTAGTCACTCATTTATTCATCTATTCATTCATTGTTCGCCAATGATGTTCTATAGGGCCGACGAAAAGGTACGACGCACACGCGAACGATATTCGACGCGTTTAACGACCGCTGAACGGGTGTTTAACACCTGCGTGACGTGTCCGGTGACTTTCTCGTCGAAAATGCGAGGGAGATTCCGTGAACCCGACATCTACGAAAATGATCTCGCTGAAACGAGAACGATCAGTCGTTAGAACTGATTTAATTAACTGATTAAATAGAGTTAATTTTTTTAACAGGAAGCATAGGCAAGGTAAACATGGATCTAGTTTGGTAATTGGGATGAAATAGAATCTTACGAATTCTTTACGAAATTCTTACGAGTTTATTAAGAACCTACCTGGCATTAAAAATGAATCGAATATATATTTTAAATGTTATTACTCGGCTAAAAGGAAATTAAATAAAATATTAAATAAAAGGCAATGAAAGACTCTCGATACGAAGTCGTCGAGCTGCGAAAGATGTATCCAAGATAAAAATAACCAAAGGTGTTCTTCATTCGTCGAACAGTATCTTCGTATAAATATTTAGAAGAACTGACGATGTAACATTATATATTCTGAACAAGAAGGAAATAAATCGTACGAAATTACAAACGGTACCGCTATCGGGCGTAGCTGAATCATAAGCGGCAGGTGACGCCGCCGTTCACCGAGGAATCCACAACGGCCGGGGTAGCTGAGAAGCTTCCACCGTGGCCAGGTTTCGAAGAAGAAAAGGAGCAATTCGAAGCGTCCTTTCTTTCCGTTCCTTGGGAGGAGGTGTATTCGCGAAGGTGACTCATTTTGGTTCAACCGGGATGTATCGCGCGCCGCGTTCCCACTCTACGAGGAAATCTGCATACCGGCCGCAGCTTTAATCGCGTTCCTCGGGATCATAAACGCTGCAACGTATATAACCGATGCTCGGCGAATCTGTTCGGCCAATCGTGATCTAAGTCTCGACCAGAACGGAAAACCACTGCGAACACAGCCACTGAAACGTCAGCCGCCATGTGGACCGCACTCTTGGTGAGTGTTACTTTCGTTTCGAAGGGGTGAAACCGGACCAGCCATTTTTACGCTGGAGAGAATTTTCGGATTTAAAGTGATATTTTTAAAAATTTTGTAAAGCGATATTGTAATCAACTCGTGAATGTTAATGTGAATGAATATTTACTTGTACTAAGAAATTAAAAGTTATAAACATTGAAGTTGAACCAAGTTCAATTGGAAATGTAAAGGAAATGTAAATTTGTATTTGTTTAACGAAGCTTGGAAGATTTTTCTGAGACTCAATATTTGCTTTTATTTCTGATGTCAGAAAATTATCAAGAAAAATCGGAGTTTTCTTTAACATTTCAGATAAATTATATTCATTTATTATCTATATTAAATGTGTTTATTGTTTATTGAAATAAATTATATTATTATATTTGTTTTTTAGATATTACAGTACATACGCTCCAAAATCGTAATGTTATGTATGGGATGAAACGAGGCGAATCGGATCAGAAAAACTAATACTTAAAACTTAAAATCAATTCGTTAAATTGAATTGTATGAATCCTTGAATTCATTCGTCTTTATTAGTCTTCATCCCTCTTTTAATAGTGTCCTTCTTTGGCCTAGTCTGTAACTTCTTTTATTGTTTTTCAAAAAGTATTATTTTATTCCAAATTCCAACTATGTATTTTAGACTAACCATGAATTCGTTATTACCGCGCGCGTTCGTGTCGATTCTAACACAATTGAAGATGTATTGGATTAAATGCAGAAAAGGTGTATGAAGTAATACGGATAGTCAGCATGCCCATTTCTATAACAACGTAACAAATACGGCCAATACTCTTATTTTTATCCGATTCACTTCTGCGTACCCTATCTCAGAAGGTCCACTATATGGGTCAAGGAAATAGCTTCTCAATAGACGCGAGAAATTAGATACCCGTATTATTGACGTTTCTCGAACAATCGCGATGAAATTTAAGTAATTAAATACCGATAAATTGTTCTTCCTTTTCTACTAATTAAAGAACGCCACAGGAAGTCCCTAAGTTGTATTCGATAACGATTACTACTATCTCGAAACCGCGACCCTTCCTGTTTCTTACTCCTGGCTACTACTTCTTTTATGAAGTTTACACTCGAATATCAAAATTAATTTTCAGTTACTGTTTTTAATCTCGTCGTTCGATATCGGCGCAACGAGGAAACCGTTGCAAACGGAGACTTCCGTTGCTCAATCGGATTCTTCCGACTCGAGTCTTGAGAGCGTAGAGCATGGAGCGCGACTCCCAAGAAAATTCCGCGGCAACAGCCGTACCAGGCGACTGCACATCGAAAATCAAACTACTGGATTCGATGGGAAAGTGGAGAAGATTAATATCAATTCCGAGGAGGATCTTGCTAAAATTCGAGCGTACGCATTAAGGAACACGAAACTGAGGAATAACGGTCACATTCGAACGATGCCACAGATGAATACCGAGGGGGACACTGAATTCGGGCCAAGAGTCGCTCGAGCGGTGAGTCAAAATTCCAAATATCATGCAGTTAAAAGTAAAGTAAAGTGTTATCGTAGCCTTTAATGTAATAAAAATTCAATAAAAATATTTAACTAAATTTAATGAAATTCAGCAAAATAAAATATTTAATCGAATTTAATAAATTTTAATAAAGATATTAAATTTAATTTTATACAATTTAATGAAAATTATTTTAGTATTTAATTTAGAAGAAATTAAAATAATTTCTTTCGTATGTTTGGTTCCAACAACTTTTGATTATATCACGCGCACAAATGAGATTTCGAAGATATTAAATGCAGCTAATATGGAAAACAGACTTCGTTGGAACAACCGTATTCAAGCGTTTAAAAAGTTTCGCAATAATCCGAGCAAGCGAAAATTTTTCAATCGCAGATCGAGGCGTACGGCAAATCTAAAGAGCACCTCGAGACCAACGGGGAAATCGAAGAGTGGAGAGATCAAGCACTCATCACGAGACACCCGGAACGAAGAGGTGTGGGACTCAGAGTAACGAGATCGATTGAGACAGGGCAGCCGGAAGTATCGGCGAAGAACACGGAGGACTTAGAGGCTCAGGACGCGAAGGTATTCAGACCACTGTTCGTTTACAGGCAACAATTGGCGAAGAGGCAAAATCGCGGCGACAGGTTTATGATTACTAAATATCCGTACCTTGCTGCTCCCCGTCTGCCAGGCTACTGAAAACCTTTCACCCGATGACGCATGCGTCTTTAATTGCATGTAATGATCGTCAAAAATCCTTTAGATGTCGACGAGGAACGATTTAACGACGCGACAATTCCTCTTTGTGCCGTAACCAATTCCCAAATCGATTATCGTGGCAATTAAGCCACCGATTTTTATGCGAATTCTCGTTTTCTCTCTTCTTTATTCATCGTTTCCTTCGAATTGATAGAAACAAAAACTTAGATTACCAAAGACGACAGAAATTCGCGAACATAAAAATAAGGTTTTAAATATTTATGTTTGCTTCCTCTTGAATTCAAGGCTAAAGCTTTCCGTTTGTCTTCGACATTTTGCGCCATTTTTGTCAATTACAAGTATAAAAATTTGTGTGCAGTTCAAATAAGGAGTAACTGACGATCAATCGCAACGACCGATACCAAAAAGTATTTTAGAGTTACTTAGGAGGTGATTGTGTCCCGAATTTATAGTTTTCGAGAGTATTCAGAGGAAGCAAAGTGTGCACACTTTGATTAACAATTAAATTTGCATCGCTTCGTTTATTGGAAATTTAGGAAATTTAGATTTATGAAAGTGAATAAAAGTTACCAAATTGTGAATAATGAAAGTGTGGACACATTTTTGTTAATGCAAGTGATTAACAGTCGGTCACAAAAATCTTCAGACACGCTATAAATAAGAAATATTATGAAAGGTTTTATTTATAAGAGCTTTTATAACACATTTTGGCAGATAATGTACTCAGATCTTTAATTTGTTTCAATTAGTTAAAAGTATGAAGATTGATGCATTTAGGACTTTCATGGCCGACTATAGCTCGATCAGTACTTAATATACTGAATAGAATAAATAGTATGTAAGTGAGAAATAAATGTTTTATGTGAACGAGGATTGAATATTTTTTTCTATTATATGTTATTATATATATATATTAAGTGTAAGATCAATTTTGAATATAAATTTCGTTGAACTTATTTTTTTAGACACCCGATGCACGGCATAATAAAACAAAAACAGGTAAAAAATAAGTCAGACGATGTGTCAGAGAGTCTCATGCTCTACAAACTTTCAATGAAACATACTGACGTTATGATATTCCTTGATAACCTTTAATCGTCCGATGTCAATCACATCTTGTCACGAAACATCCCTAAAATTTCTTGTTTTTCACTACTATGCCGTATAACCGGAGTGACAAAAATAAAATAGCTTCACCGTTAACCATTGTCGACAAAATAGACAACACCAGTGCTGTCAAGATGACCGACACAAGTGAAATTAACGAAAAACCAAACAGGTAATTAGTTCTTCCGATGTGAAAACGGATAATTAAAATGAGAATTCGACTTATTTAACCGATTTCGAAGACACGATTCTACGTTTTCAAATGAACGAAATTGAATGTAATTAAAACGAGTATAAGTATATACAGGGTGTCATGTAACTGGTGGTAGAACCGGATAGGGGCCGATTCTATGTTAAAAAGTAAGTCGAAAATATACAATAAAATTCTGTCATATGAGGCGTTGTTTTCGAGAAAATTGTTTTCGAGAACATGTCTCATCATTGGATCTTACTGTAGATCATTGTCCAGATTGAAGTTTATGTTGACACCTTGTATAATTAGTTTACCGAACCACAATCAAAATTTACGTGAATAGATTATGTTATTTAAAAAATGTTCACAACGAATCAGAAAAATAATGAAGTAATAAAAAATGGTTTTATTTTAAAGAATTCTATACATTTATGTACATTAGTAATTCTGTTCATTCATTATTTGAATGAAAATTTGCTTGCGTCTGTTTCGAGGTCGCTAACAATGCACACCATTTCGTTCTTAGATCCAGTAAAACGTTGTCGCTGTTCAACGCAGCGTCAGTGTGCCTATTAAATGTGTTGGACATTTTGCTTCTGATCATCATCACGCCGTACAGCGTTTATCGATACGCTTCCGCGGATGATCACATGAAAATTATCCTACGCACTATCATGGAAGTGAGTTCTGTCGTGTCGAAGTTAAAACGTTAGTTTACAATTCATTGTTTTCAATTAACGGATCGTTGTATAATTTATGAAACAGGTCACGCTAGAATTGTTAATGTGGACTGTTTTCGCCGGCGTGTCCATATTGATGACTATATTCTTGCTCGAGGACAAAGAAAAAAGCGACACAAAGGAAATGGTTATTCTTGAAATTTGTTGAAGCAGCGAAACGGAAACGGAAAATAGAACGACGAAAAAGTTAAAGTCCCGCAAGAATTTAAAAAAAAATCAATCAATTGTCAATTTTTTAGAGAGTGTTCTTTGTAACGTAAAGTGGAATTGTCTTTTGATAAAGTAGAATTTTTCACAGAATTTCTCCTAAAGATATACCTTAATTTTTATTATCTGACTGCGGGCTTGCAGTTGCGGATATTAAAATGATTATATATTGTTTCGAAGATAACGGATTTAATAGTATTTAGTTTACGTATTCCTCTTTTGAGGAGGTGATTTTCACGTCATAAATTTGAAAGTTATTTTCAACGGAATGCAAAGGTGAAAGTTTACCGGTACTTAACGTGCTGGAGCATTTCGGAAATGCCAAGGTAACGGAAAATTCGGGAAAATCGCATTCTTATCGCCTGTGTTCGGCATATATAAGAATCTATCCAATGCCCTAGTGTTTATTCGAAACAGAAGTTCCTATAAGCATGCAGTGGTTAAAGACACTCTTCCTTCTCGTAAGTTCTAATTTGAATAAATTTATTTTAATTAATTATATACATCAACGAATAATTTGAATAACATTTTACTTAATGTATTACAACTAAAATATAATTAAATATTTAAGCTTTCGATATAGTCAAACGAAAAATTATTTTGAGACCATTCAATAGTACACTGGAAAAAGTAATAATAGTAACTGTAATAGTAGCAATGTTTCTTAGATCAGCCTGCCAGTGGCGTTGTCGCGAGGCTACATCATCAAGCCGTCAAACGACCTCACCGTTGACAAGAGATTTCTCAACGATGTGCACACAGTGGTCCACAATTTAACAGAATCCACCATGTTGAAGGAGAAAGCTGTGGTCGAGTCTGCGTCCGCCATTGGTACGACAAAATTCAACATGTTGAAGAGCATCAACAAAGCCAGTGACCATGAAATCGTAAACACGCTAATCAACGTAAAATTGGCTCTGCTGGAAGCCCTCAAAGCAGCGAAGATCGAATTTATCAAAACTTTTGCGAATAAGGGGATGCTTTTGTTCGAGCAAATACCGGCTAAATATTTCGCTGATCTAATGGAGTCGCCGTTCTTCGATTTCGTAATGGACACGGTGATACCGCTTTTACCGGGAGAAGACACCATTGAACAGATTTACACGATAAAAAGATGACTTTCGAACAATTCTTTAACGCAGGGTTTTGTTATTTCTAATCTTTTATTAAATTAATATTTTTCATCGACAAAATGAGCATATAATCTACTTTCAATCTACTGTTTTACGACAGAAAAATACACAGAAGGTGTTTCAAACTCGAATTATACGAGCAATTAAAAAAATTCTGTATTACTTCATGGTATAAGTAGTAATATTTTACATTCTTCGATTTTGCTTGTACATCGAAGCTGTCAAGCATTACTCATCTATCGCTCGATCCAACAGCAACCTGTCGTGTCCGGTTAATCAACATTCTATCGTATTTAATTCTTACATTTAATCGTGCATTCCTGGGAACAAATAAACCCGCGAGTCGGTTCCTTGACTTCATTTGATCTTCAATAAAGGGAACCTAAAGCGTAAAATTGATCAACGGATAAACGGTCGCATAGACATCGACTATACATGTCATTGAATTGTTATGTACATATATTTACACTAATATAATACGCCAACATGGGAACTTCGTATCATTGATTACTGGATAAAATAAAATCTCTATTGTTACATCGTTCCCTGTGAACATACATATTCCACGAACGCATCAACTCCGCAGTACATCTTGATCACGAATACCGCGCTTCTAAGTCTGAAAAGACAACTTATAATTGAATTAACTAAAGATTTAGAATCAAGCTATTAAAAGTTAAAAGTGTAACGCAGCCACCAAACAGAAATAAATTAAATTTCCATAAAACGTCCCCGATTTAATAATTTAACTGACCCGCGCAGACCTTCTCCGAGCCGAAGGCGAAGACGATCGGCGACTTCCTGTATAAATTGTAATAAATCACATCTGAACGCACGTTAATCAAACGTTTTCCTTAGTTTTATTCGAAGCTTCTTCCTGAGCGGGCGTTCATTTAGATTCTAGCACTCGTCATTCGACAACGTACGTTTCGCTTCCACGGAAAAGGAATAAGACTTAAGATTTAATATTTAGAAATTGGTATAGACCAACGACGTTCGACAGTATTTACTGATCGAAATTGTTTCTAGGATACCGAGCACACGAAGGAACATCCAGCATAAACGACACCGACGTATTCCATCAGAAAGTGGCAGTCCGCGTTCGATCTCGATCGATACCATTGACGACAAAACCTTGCCCTTTGCGCTTCTTTAACCGTAAGTGAATTACGTCATTGGCCTTGATTATCGAGCGTCCATCAACGTGACAAGTGTTTGCTCCTTGACACGGTGACCGATGCTCCTTGAAACGCGCGTGGTTCCCTCGACGACGCTCTACGGATCACGTTTCGATCGACTGAAAAATCTCTTCGCTTCTAATTACATTTACAAACAGTAATTTTTTGTTTTAAAACTTAGAACAAGAAAAATAAGGATTCTTAAAACGATATATCTAAATGAAGATTTTTGGAATAATAATGAACCGTTTGATTAATTAGCTTTTGTACACATACATTTGAAACGATCGAAGAACAAAGTCGTTGTTAACACGTCAAACACCACGCCAGTCCCTAGGGACCGGCGTTAGACTTTTCGTTCAGGCGCGGCCGGTCCATGCGGACTTTAGGTTCATATTACACGACCGTGTCTGGGCCTGAACGGAACGACAAGCAAGTCGGGCTGGGCACTTAACGTGTTAACATGCTCAGAAGCGTTCATGCGGTAACGATCTAAACGCTATCCTGATGAATCATAATTCGACAACGGTTTTCTTGTATGTATGATTTTCCGGATTGAGCTCGGGACTAGGAAACGCAATGAGACGGCTACTATTTCCTCTTTTTTCCTCATTCTAACTGTGAATTCTGGTACAAGACATATATTCGAGAATTGTCGTGGCAAAGTGTAATGGAATAAGTTCGTTTGATCTACATTGTGTTTCGAAGATTAACTACGATAAATTTGTTAACTGATAAGTCCATGCCAATGATAAACAGAATTTGTAATTCTTGTCAAATTCCTGCTTGTCAGAACATGAAGGCAATTGTCGCTCTGATTATGCTGATCTCAGTAGCAGAGGGCAAACACTTCTGGAGAGGTACTTATAATGGACAATGGAGAGGACCGTTCCGTCCACCAGGTCCACCTTTTCAACCACCGCCAGTACAACAATTTCCACCGCCAGGACAACAATTTCCACCGCCAGGACAACAATTTCCACCACCAGGACAACAATTTCCATCGTCTGGACCACCAAACCTGTTACCTGTTGGCGAGCTAGGAAGACCACCCTTCCAAAATTGGAATCAATTTCAACAAACTAATATGGTCGACGTCAGTAAAGCTGAATGGGTTTGCCAAAATCCGAAAACAGGCGATATGGTATGTCATACTTCTTCATCACAACATTGAAAGCTTACTGCAGAGAACGTAGTTATTACTTTGTACAAGTGAAATTTAATGATAAGTTCAAGATATACTTATTAAATGTACTACGTCGGTTAAAAAATTTTCATTCATGAAAATTCGTTTACAGATGTTTATTACTAGTGTTGATGGGCAACCGTCTCAAACCGAAGTATGGCCGAATACAAGTGAAGACCCTAATGCTAATGGATATAACAATCAAGGAAATCCTCACAATGGAAATAATAATCAAGGAAATCCTCACAATGGAAATAATAATCAAGGAAATCCTCACAATGGAAATAACAATCAAGGAAATCCTCACAATGGAAATTCCAATACTGTAAACCCTAATAATGAACATAATGTACAACCAACTCTACAACCCAGTACAGATGAACTTTCTCAGCCACATGGAGGAGAAGGTCTTATTGATATTCGGATGGGTGCCGCAAGGTAAATGAAATAAAAGTGGACATATTCAGAAAAACTTGGAGATGACTGTAAAGGACAAAAATAAAAAACTACAATCTTCTGTTCTCAAAATTTTCTTATTAAAAATTGTTTGTACTTCAGTTCTTATAATACATCAACTTGAAATGTGAATCAATAAAATGGAATATATGAATATTTTTCTCTACATAATGATTATATAAACTGTAATTATTTTAAGTTGTATACCTATCATTTTCTTACATATATTCATGAGAAACAATCATGTACTTCAGTAACAATATAACACAAAAATAAAAATAACAAAAAGAACATATACTCTCGATTAATTTATAGATTAATGAAACTTTTTACAATATAAATTATGAGATTTAAACTGAGATTAATTTTTTATACTTGCGCAATACAGAGTAGCATCAATTAAAAGAAAATATATAAAACAATATTACATGTCAAACTTCGTTATCTTATTTACTCGTTCCTGCAAAAAGAAAAACAAAAAATATTTTTTGTAAATCAAGACAATAACTATTATGTAAATAATAAAAATCTTACCAAAAGCGCAGCATTACAAGTTTTAGATCGTTTACTATGCAACAAAAATCTGGATGCATCTAACTGTACATTAGGATCCTTTTCTATTAAATATTTTAAAGTTTGTTTAAGAACTTCATTAACTGTATCTGCATTCAATGTACGGTTATCGCTCTCTAATGGACAGCTACAAATAAGTACAAAAAATAAACAATATATAAACTAAATTTTTTTGTTCCATTTATGAATGTGTAGGGAAACAACTGGGTTACCTGCCATTATTAAAGTGACCATATCCCTCAATTTGCTTGTCACATATATAGCACATTATTGCTCCACACGAGCAGGTGATTTTATTACAACCATCTTCTTTAAAATATGGTTTAGCACATTTGTAACATTTTCTTACAAGTGCTTCTGTCATTTTTTCTTCCAAAACTAAACGTGCTTTATCAGTTTTTTCTTCATAACATCTTAATGGTACATGGTTTAATTCTTTACACAATCTAAAATTAAAAAATAAAACCTATAATATATGGCTCAAGACTGTAATTAAAATATATTGTAGCTTTTATAGAATCCTATATTGCTAGAAATCAACAATATATTTTTCATATTGAACTTGCCTGCATGATTCTTTCATACATTCAGGATTAAGGCATTTGAAGATTTTATCTTCTGGAGGTGGTATAGATGCGAATGTGCAAAATGGACAAGAAACTAAACCTGGCAATCCAGCAGCCATTACTTCTTGTTCCTGTTTCTTACTAATAAGAATACTAAACTGTGTTGGTGATAATATTCTTTCTAATGTAGAAAGGTTGAATTCTTCATTACATTCTACAAAACATAACATGCGTGTATCTCCTTGTGCTAATTTTATTTTAACACCTTTAATGATACACGAATTACAAAATATATGTCCATCATTACATGTGGAGCATTTAGATGGCATGCATTCATTATCATAACAACACTGACATTCCAGTAGCTCATTATTTTTCTATTAAGCATATAAAGAAATTAAATTTATTTCAACTTATGCATACTTTTTTTTCGTTTATTTCATAAATATGTTACCTTTAATTTCTTGAATTCTCTCATTTTCTCTTCCTCTATCTTATTCATATAATCTTTAATTTGTTGTCTGTATCTTATAAATGCACATTCTTGCAACAAAGGAATATCTTCTGAAAGATTTATTTCCCATGCACCTATAAATGGGCCTGAACATGCATCAGTTTCCAGTTTTTCTAATGCCTGTACAGTTAAACTTAAGTTGAATTCGTAGGCTGTATACTTGAATAGCAAAGTAATCTCCTATAAATTTAAAAAATTGGTTTGAATTTTAAATTCATATACTATAAATAAATTGCTATATTTCAGCGTACCTGCAAATATTTGAAACGAGATTTTATGAATTTGTAAGCATCAACTTTGTACTCACATTTTCTATTTGGATTTTCAAAGTACTGAAATGGATTTGGGAATACTTCTAAAAATTTTTTAACATCAAAATTACTAGTATATTGCTTTTGTTGTTCTGTAATACTTATCCTTTTCAATTTTTCTTCTTTTGTCATATAAGTAGGATTCTTGCATTGGGTTTGTATAAATTCTATTATAGCATTTTCATCACCCTTCAAGCTTTGTACAATTTTTCTCAAATATGTTACATCTGCTTTTGGAAAGATGCTTGACAAATTAGCAACTTGTTTGTTTATATCACAAGTTTGTTGTCTAGAAACACATTTACTTTGCTTTTTGATTGGACATGTTTCTATGTTTTCAAGTATATATTCAATCAAGTTTTGTAACATTTCAGTTGGGACTCTATGTGTTTCCATTTTAAAAAATTTTAAGCATGTGTCTTTAATGAAATCTTCATCGATCTGAGGAAATATAGATTTTAACTCTTTATATATTTGTATATATTCTGAAGACTGATTATCCGTTTCCTGTATATTATATTTCTCCTTTTCTACACTTTCAAATATTTGGGATGAAGACGGATTATTAAACCCAGTAGAACTGGATGGATTAAATCTTTTATCGTCAGTGGATGTTAGTGATGATACTGTAGAATTTTCTGGTACAGCAGTTACTGAAAATTGAGATCTCTCAATACCCAAGTCTGTAGCTAGTTCTTGTAATGATGATTGTGCTGAAAAAATTGAGTTTCTTGGATTATTTGAACTGGTCGCAGATACAGGATCAGTTACTGTTGTTGTTGTCACTTGAATTGAGGTATCATGAGATGAATTAGTATGTAAGTTTTGAGGTATCGTACTAGTTGAAGCAATTTCATATGATGTACTTGCTGATACTGCATCTTTAAGTAAATCTTGAAAACTTTCATCATCTTCTGTTAAATCCACTGTTTCAATATTCAACATATCATTAGAACCTTTAGATATTTTATTAGGTTTCAATAATTTAACTTTCTTAGTTTTAGAATATTTTGCTGCATCATAGGTATTGCAATTTATATTGGGAATATTCAATAGTTTTAACTTATTATTTTTATTAATGTATTGTGAGATATCCTTAGCAGAAACTCTGAATTGTGAATGTAAAAAATATTGACGTGTCTGATTTCTTCCTGGAAAATTGAAATTCTTTACATTCTTGTATAATTTTTGTTTCTTAACATTTTCTATGTAACTTAAATATTGCATATAGTTATCTAATGTTCCCAATTTGATTTGTTTGTCATTTATTACTCTTGCATTTATTGAATTTGGTTGAAATACATTTTTTCCTAATGATATATTTTTATTATTTACAAATTCACTATTTTTACATTTTTTTGGATACATCAACTTGTTTTTATTTTTCGAAATTTTGTACATTTCTGTCCATACTGCTGGAGTTAAAATAGAATTCTTATATGAAGTTACTTGCCTCTCACATGTTTTGTTATTAAGTATTAATTTTGGTGGATGTAATATTCTATTTTGTGTAGATTGACAAACTGTATTAAATTTTGTTAATATTGCTTTTTGTTTTAATTGTGATACACGTTCTTTACCTTGAAAATTATCAGTGTTTTGTACATTTTCTTTATTTAATGAATAATTCTCAATATCATTTAGTATTACAATATCTTCATCTAGATTTTTGTTATAATTAATTTCTTTTTTATTTTGTTCAACATTTTTTGCAAATATCAAAGTATTATCTCTCTTCATCTGGCTACAACCTTTAACAGAATTATCATTCGCAACTTTCATTATGGATATCGGTGTTGATAATAAATCCCAAAGACTAAGCATAACACGATTTTCTGCAAAATTGTGCTTGTTCAGAACTTTATAAATTGTTTCATAAGCAAATTGAGGTAACAAATTATGTATTTGCAATGCTTCTTCCCTTATTTTGGTTTGTATATCAGAATCTTTACTACAGCCTGATATTGAATTACTTTCAAATTCTGCAGTTTTTCTTCTTTGTATACTAGCAGTATTTTCTGAAGAAAAGTTTGTTTGTTCCTGGTAACTTTGTGTAGAGTCTAAATTATTGTTTGGATCATTATTATTTTCTTCAAAGATTTCTATGTCCACTGAAGCACATGGTATAATATGATCATCATCATGCACAATTGTAGCATTAGAAAATTCTATGCCATCAAGTAACCGTTCATAAGACGTTAAAGAATTATTGGAAGAAGATTCTTCAGAAATGACAGAAAAAGAATCATCTGTATCAGAATCATTTGAGTCTATATTGATATATAATTCATTTGAGTTCAATTCTTCTACATCCATATCTTGCTCAATGCCTTTGCATTTTATTGTTTTATAATTGTCACATATTCTGTTAGAAGATCCAGCTATGGCCGTATTATTTTCAAAGTCATAGTCTGTTGTATCAACTGATCCCAAAATCATTTCTGTTACTAATTGAATGTTTTGTCCAATAGTAGAAACATGCTTTCTTATATCTTCAGTATCCATAACTATATTTTCACAAGATTCTGTATTTTCAGAAATAATAATTTGTTACATTATATAAAACATGTTCTTGAATTCTAAATACATGATAAATAAAAATGTAAACAACTATATAAATTTGTTAGAATAAAAATTAATAAATGTAATAAATTGATAAATCTTTAACAACTATCAATATGAAGCTACTTACACGACCTCTATAAAAAAGACATACAAATTAGTCGAAAAAATAATTCATATTTTTGATTACCTCAAACATTAATATTACAAGAAGTTTTTTATTTCCTATCTTCTTCTCCAACGAATTTGTCTTTAATATTACACAACTTAAAAGAATTACAACGATATGTTAACAGATTCTACACTTTTGTTAAAGTAAAAACAAATGAATATTGCAAATTCTATATCACTAAGACAATGTTAAACAAAATCAAACAAAACAATGTAGTTATTTAAAACTCTGGAACTCCCTTAAAAAAATAGTACGGAATCTACTGAAAATGAACATTACGTAAATAAACATTTTTACACTATCGTATTTTTTATGTCAAAAATATTTTCATCTTAATTCCATGTAACATTCTTAGCAAAACAAAACAAATACATGTTTTTACGCAAGTATTCAATGCTGTACTTCGAGTATACCTATTGCGTATTGCGTGTTTTAAAATTTACTATTAACAGGGCTAACAACAGTCAAAACTCAATATCGATATGCAATCGAGATTTTTTGTTTATGTGGACACACTCTAATTTAATATTTATTTATTTATCTCTAAGTTAAAATTTGGTATTAAGTACCTTCATAGTTAATATATAAGGCATAATTCATTATATTACGTTCTCAATATAATTTAGAAAGAGGAGACTTCACAAAATTTATTGCAATTATTGTGTATTCATTTTAATATTTCATAATTTTAAGCAAGAATTTTTATTTATTGTAACATTTTCATATAACTTAATAAATATTTGTAATTATTGAAACATACAAATAATATAAATATAATTAAAACATACAGACAATAATAATATTATCATATTATTAAATAAATACAATTATTCCTAAAAGAAGTTGGTAGTCAGTAATAGTAGAGGTCGCTGCGATAAAAAAGTAGAAGCATTTAGAATATATTACCATCTGAAACAACATAACCTTAAAGGGTGCCTTGATAACCCGCTGTCGGCGGATGAACTGTCAATTCCGGTGCATTTAGACAGTGTTTCGTATTGTACTGTTCTCCAAAAATTTGGGAAATTCGTGTTGACTAATTAGAGTCCACGAATTTCCAAAGGTCTTCCTATATAAGTAAACTTTCCCAGCAATTTTGAAATAAGTGCATTATTTTTAATGCACGACCGCACCCGTTTTTGAATAGTAACGCGGGGTGATTCATAGAGATAATTCACGATTTGGTGATACAGTTATTCGAACGATATCGTATGTAAATTCATTGAACCGTTCGTGAAAATCAGTGACAAGATGACAGAGGTTCATAACTTAGGTGTTGATGCTATCAGCTGTCACGCTTGGAATAAAGATAGAAATGGTTTGACATTCTCTTATTTGCTCATAAGCTTATCTGGAATGAATAAATAACCTTTCTGTATTTTTTGTAGAGGTAGCTATCTGTCCAAATAATAATGAAATACAAGTTCACAAACGGACATCAAATGGTTGGAAATTACTGCAAAATTTACAAAAGCACGATATGCATGTCATGGCTATTGACTGGGCGCCAAATACTAATCGAATAGTAACATGTTCTGCAGATAAGAATTCATATGTTTGGACACAAGAAGAAGATGGAACATGGAATCGTGTATGGGTAGTTGTAAGAATAAATCGAGCTGCAACATGTGTAAAATGGTCTCCGTTAGGTATATTTACTGTTTATATGAATTTAAATAAAATCTACATTGTAGTTATTTTTTAATCAATTACACTGACTGTTTGTACTTTGTCCTATAGAAAATAAATTTGCTGTTGGATCTGGAGGTAAAGTAATAGCTGTATGTTACTTTGTCTCTGTGAATAATTGGTGGCAATGTAAGCATATAAAGCGTCCATTAAGGTCCACCGTAACTACAGTTGATTGGCATCCAAATAACAAAGTTCTAGTTGCTGGATCTACTGATTATAAAGTTCGTGTGTTCAGTGCATTTATCAGTGATGTAGAAGATGCAACAGGGTCCAGTCCTTGGGGTCAAAGTAATACTTTAGGAACATTACTTGCTGAATTTGAAAACACTCCTAATGGAGGTAAGTTGTATCATATTCTGTTTGCTAGTCTGAATATTGTCTATTTTCGTAAATTATTCTTTTTGCTTGTGTATAGGAGGTTGGATTCATTCTGTCGCATTTAGTCCATGTGGTAATAAGATATGTTGGGTGGCACACAATTCATCTATATGCATTGCTGATGCTACCAAAGGAAATGCAGTTGTACGATTGTATACAGAGCATTTACCATTTTTAAGTTGCATTTGGATGGGGTCCAATTCCATTGTTGCAGCGGTATTGATATTAATGTTTTCAAATTAAATACAATAATATTTAGATTTATGTAGTAATTGCCGTTTATAAAAAATAATATTATTTCTTGCCTAGGGTCATAGTTGTATGCCTATGTTGTATTCCATTGACGACAATGGTCAATTGTATTTTGTATCAAAGTTAGACAACACACAAAAAAAAGAGGCTGCCGGTTTGTCTGCAATGCGTAAATTCCAATCGTTAGATCGTCAAGCGAGAACAGATATAAATGATGATGCCTTGGATAGTATACATCAAAATACAATTAATTGCGTACGCAAAGTATCTGATAATGAATTTAGTACAAGCGGTTTAGACGGTCAGTTAGTAGTGTGGGATCTCAAGGTAAGTTTCAATCATATAACGTAGCGGAAAATGTAATTGCATGAAAAGTGTACAATTAATTTTCCCTTATCTCTATGTTTTTCCTCTAGCTCCTCGAGAATTCCATTGCTGGTCTCAAGATAGCATAAGACAAATTTTTTTTATATCATAAAGATGAATGAAGATATTACATCAAACACAAAGGTGTATAAATGTTAAAACTGAAAAAAATATACAATTTCTCATTACTTCTCGCGGTATTCTCCTTCATAGAAAACGATAGATTACTTCTATTCTTAATTCCAGAGTAAGTGCAATCGTTCGTAATACTATAAGTTAAATATTTCGAAGGAAAGAATGCGTTGATTAGTCTACATTCATGGCCATAAATATAATAAAATAAACTACTACCGAATCATCTCAGGGGACACATGTTAATTTCATTCAAATCGATGTCGAATACCATTTAGCGTCCAAATCTAATGGAATATTCGGTATGGACAAAATACTTTTTCGACGAACTGCAGCGGATAGCTAAAGCGATTTGCTCGAGCTCGCTAATCCATCGTGTTTCGTCTCGGATCACATTTGCGGTATCCGATTCCTGGCTACGACACGTTGCGCCGCAAACGAGCCGCGACGCCTTTCAGACGAGGGGGTTGCATAGCGTCGGGCGTCGCGTCGCTGTACGACGGTTCATCGGTCGACAGAAGTAAAGAGGTTCTCTCGTGCCTAGAAACCACACGGTCGCGTGGATTGGGTGGGGAAGGGTGAGCAGTAGAGGGGGAGGGACGACGGCAGCCAGACAAGTTCAGCGCGGATATCGATTCAGTCTCGCGCAAACCACCCCCATGTGTCGAGCCCGTTGCAGCAGCTCCACCTTTTAGCTTTGTTTTCCGCTCGGTGTCATGACTGACACATAAACAGAGAGAGAGAGAGAGAGGCGCAACCGCGGGTAAATGGTTCAACTGCCGTCGGTTCACAGGGAGCGACGCGACGCGACTTGACTCGACTCGACTTAACTCAACGCGCAGTACAAAACGTTTCACGATCAGGAGATACACCGTAATCCACCATCGGTCGTGAACGGATAAAATTTCCTATTCGCAGATTGCTCGTTTATCGATTACCGCGCGAACCATTTCCGAAGAGGCGTTCCATTGTTCGTACGTTTCGCAGTGAGGTGGTCAAGTTTATTACATAAACCTGGGCCGCGAGGGGAGCGTTGACGACAAGCACGCGTATTCTCAATATTTCGCGAACTGTCTCTGTCGGTGGTCCGCGTAAACCGGGCCGGGCCCCTGATAGTTCCACTCGGACACGCTTCCTCGCATCTTTCACGACTCCACGGTAACTTGTCGATTTAATCGTTCCGAGAGTCATGTCCAGCGATTAAAATAGATCTTTCCAGTGAAACTGTTCCATCATCGATTCGCCGACGTAGAGAGCTGCTCTCGAGGGTTGCGTTTCGTTCCCGTCGCCGCATCTTCGTGCGATATGCGCGCGATAAATTTAGAAGGTTAGCCGATACCGTCGATGAATTACCGATTGAACGCCTGCTCGTGGAACAGCTCGAGCCCGGGTCTGATCAATCGCGTGCCGACACCGAAGAGGCTGTTGTGATTTTTGTCGCGGGATCGGATCGATCCCGTAAACACCGGGAGGAAGAGAGACAAAGAACACGAGGGGAAGGGAAAACGATCGCGTGTAGAACAACCGCGTATTCGTTCGCCTCAACGTTCGCGGTGCGTTCCTTGCGCTTAAATATGTGGCGCTTTAACTACGGCCACGCGGACCTGTGCTCGTCTTGACTACGAATCCTGGGAGAACGACGGGAGTGCGACTTCACTGCTTGAGAAATGTCTTCGATATCAGCGCAGGGGGTCGTCGAAAGAGCCAGCGCCGAGTTAACAAAGAGAATCAACGGTCTGGGTCTCAAAACGTCCAAACACCATGGTCAGTAAATTATTTCATTCATTCACCGCAAACTCGCCGGATTTGCATGAAAGCGTCCAAAAGTCAGAATAATTTCAAATCAACGATGAATCTCGTGCCACAAATTTAATGTTGTTTTGTACTGTACACGTCAGGCGGTGATTCGTTATTTTTTTTTAAACGACGTTGGCTGCACCAGAACTATGTAAATATGCTTTCATCGGCGTACGTTTTATAAGAGCAAGTATTACTTTCGTAAAAAATGTACAATTACTTAACGCGATTCGAACCGAACCTTTTCCCAGCTTCAAAGCAGCTCCGCAGTGATTCTCATCTAACCCTTGCCAAATTTTAGGCAATCTCTGACCTATCCTCGAATGATTGTGAATTAACTTAATTGATTTAATCCACATGTAATTACATTTCCTTGGACGCCTAACTCGTGCCTGACGTTCTTTGCATAGCTCTCGTTCTAACGTAGCTTAATTTTAAGCAACGTACGAGGAAATCAGATTCAACTGACAGGATTGGATTTAACTCGACCAAACGTGCCTCGTGTTTTATCGGAGCTGAATTTATGTCTAACTTTTGGTCAACTGAGCCTAACCTGTTTTTATCCGAACCTAGTCGAACCTAAGTATGACTCTAAACAGACTCAATTCGAAACGGCACCTAACCTACCCCTACACCAAATTCAATCAACGTAAAGTAAATTCGGCTCTGCTTTAGTCAGACATAACCCAAAACCCTAACAGTACTTTGATTCCAACGATGGTTAACCTACCCCCCAATTACAGATTCAATCAATTAAAATTAAACTTAAAGCTACCCTAACCCGGTTCCGCGTTGTGTTTCGTAAAACCCGAAGCGACGCCCGATTCGACTTCGCATAAACTTAATTCTGATCGAACCTGAGCCCAACTCATACTTGGGCGGATCCAATTCGGCCCTGACCCGAGTTTAACAGAACTCATGCATAATCCAGTCCTAACCTAGTTTAACTTAAATTCTCGTCACTCTCTTTCTCCCTTCCTCCTCGTCCTCTGTGTTTGCGTTATCCTCCTTGCCATTAATACAGTGGTTTAAACAACACCTGGGATTTCGATATGCCTTGTTTACCGATCCATTTGAAGCAAACCGTCTGAAATGTCCACTCTACCGTCATTACGCAATCACGATGACGAATTGATTTCTGTGAAACCGTAACCCTATATCCTCATTCCATTTGTATCTTAAATCCTGAATTGTCTGTTTATCTTTCTTTCTATGTTGCACGATGTGTCGCTGCTTTGTGCGTTCGACATTGACGGTCACCGATGATCGGTGCTCACCGTCCAGAAATGTTACTGTCGGACCTCGGTAGCCGATATCAATCAAGCCTTATTTCCTTTACGTTTTATTAGTAAAATCTGACGACGGTCACCGGTGACCGACATCATTCGAACGTAGCCAACACATTAATGGTAGACACTTCATCGTGCTAAACTAGTGGTCAGCATGGTCTTAACAGAAATTTGATTGCCAGCCACTGGTGACCAACATGGATCATTTAAAAGGATCAAAGTTTAACCACCGAACTTTGAACCCTGCATAGATACCTAAAAGTCATAACGTACTTCGTATAAAATGTATAATACACGAATGTATAAGAATGTAAGTTTCTAGGAATCAAGAAGAGTCTCTAGGCATAACCGTCGTGTCGATTATCGCTACGGTATGTAACCGAACCGAGTTACCGTTGTTTGAGAAATTTCAGGTGGCGGTTAAGTGGCTACCGGCTGCCTTCAGTCGCAATCCGAACTGCAATGGAATCGATAGCGTTCGTCCGCGTGCACGTGGAAACGTGGAAACTAGAATGACTCGAAGTATCACCGAGCCCTTCGCCCCCTTCTCCTTCCCGTCAGTCCGTTCCCCGTTCCGTTGTACGTGAAATCGCACGATTCGTGTTCGAACCTGACCCAGGACAATCCTTGCTGCCGCCTCGGATCACTCTAGAAAAGTCATTTTTTTTCATTTCTTTTAATGTGTTAGTAATCGGAATGAATATTCTATATGATAATTTGATGATTTATTCGCTATAGCACTAATTGTGGTATGATACAAATTTCTCATTATACGAACCTCTTCAACTAACTATTAACCCCTTGCCCTAAGATTTACTTCCGCTCTTGCACTTGTTAGAAGTACTTACCGTTAATAATTTAGTAGGAAAACAAAAGATTCCATGTTTTCTCTATGCCCAGGTTTACTCTACATCACACAAATTAATAATACGGAAGCTAGTGTTTCATTAGAACTCAAGGAAATTAAATGATATTTACGTTTGTGAAACTATATTTGAAATCCCCATTAGTCTAATGGGATATTATAAGGAAAGAGGTTAAGTGTGGACAACACACGTCTTCTTCCATTGTGCTTTAATAATGAGTATAATAAGATCTTATTATGATTTCTTAATTCCTCTCGTGTTCTATACTGTTTTCCTTCGTTACTTCTTCGGTGTAGGAGATATTTTAGTTATCATGGTTTGATTTATTATGATCAGGGAGCATCTGTGATTATTCTCAAGATTTAAGATGCTGAATACTTCGGTTTATTCTATTTCAAGATACTCTTACAGTTCTGCGTGTACACCGTCTGCTATTGTTAGAACAGAATTCTACGCGTAAAAACAAATAGAAAATGTAGAATAATACTTCCTGTGCTCGTGTGAGGAGTAATGTTAGAGAATTGAATTTGAATATTTTACAATCCCGCGATTTTCATGCAGAACGGTCTGCCAATGTCTGTTTATCGCTGACCGTTTCTACTTAACGTTCTGCGCGTCGTGTATTATATATAATAACACTGCCCATATTTCCAGAAATTGATACACAATCGAAGCAATTTATGCATGAAGAGTCACCATAGTGACTTATTATTGTTGTTACTGTTAATCCATTTATTCTACCGTTACATCAATTATTCCGTTTCATGTAAGAAAAAAACGGTTGCGAAAAAAGTATTCCATATTTTCAGTTTATACTTTTTCCAAAATGTTAATTTGTTCATGGTTTGCGTAATTATGTCTACTTTAAAGAACAAAAAGCAAACAGTTTTTCGGGCGACCGAATAGAAGCATCATTCGCTTGTTTCTTTAGCGGAGAGGAAGAAAATTATTTTCGAACGGCGATGTACGGCGTGTCAACATCGAAACTAGAAGGGTAATTCCCGAGTTCTCTGCTCGCGGCACTTACCATTGTCGTTGCGCATAATGCTGCACACGATGGGCTCGTATCGGTTTACGGAAACGCGTCAGCAATTTGCAAAGCGGAAACACCCGGTGAATCGACATTTGTCGCGGCACCGCGTCGAGTCTTAAGAAGCCACTATTCTGTGATGATTAAAAAAAACCAACTTCTCCTTTCCGCATTCTTCTGAAGCGGTTTGCTTTCAAAATTGACATCCTGAGAGGATACGATTCGATTCTAAGAATTCGCATAAATACACGCCTTTAAGAGGAACAGCCTGAACTTTTAAATCGGACTGCTTGTAGAAAGCAATCGATCAGTATTACAAAAGTAAAACTGTTTTCGTAATAATTCATAATTTTTGTTTACGTGTATTTCTTTATTTGTCGATTTTTTTAGGAAAAGTTCTTGAAAGTCATGGTTAATATTAAAATTACTGTCAAGATAGAAGTAAATTTGAATCGTATGAAGTTTTTTTTCAAGGTCCTTTTACAACCTTCAAAATGTCCAAAATTTCTGTTGATAAGTTAACATTTTTTGTGTGACTTAGAGAAGCACGTTTCTCTAGACTCGAAGTTACCCTTATTTCCATATCTACACAAACTCACAAACTTATTTTACAAGTGCTCGCCACAGTATCTTTACGATTTCAATAATCGTGAAATAAAAATTCTGCAATGGGTCATTTAGGTTCGTTCGATAGTTCTCCAGCGTTAACACGTTGACTACCGAATCATCGTCCATAAAAGTCCCACAAAATCAAAGTTCATTCAATAAAACAGAAACTTTACAGCTAAGATTTACTGCGGCGATTACTCTTTTAACTTCCCCACGAAAGCAAAGCAATTCATTCAATAAAACAAAAAACTTCGCAATTAAGATTTATCATGGCGATTACTGTTTTAAGCTTCTCCTCGTAGATATCATTTTATCAAATTCATGAACACGAGATTCAGACCCGAGAAGCTATATATAACACATAATGTGTAAATATATATATAAATCAAAATACAAGCATAAACATAAACATAAACATAAACATAAACATAAACATAAACATAAGCATAAGCATAAGCATAATCACATAACGACCGACATTTTTTAATGAAGACTATTACGAATATCTCAAAAACTAAAAAAATCCGATATTTTTGTAGAAGAAGAAAAAGATTTCCAAACTACCAATTTTTATAACATATTTGAAAACAATCGAAAATGGCAAGGAGGCTCTTTTTCTAAATAATTACCAAATTAATTTTCAATTCTGGACAAAGAACTGTGTCACCTACATACGACCGACGCAACGGTGAACAACGTTAAAAAGCAAAAGATTCGAACACGCGCCTGCTCGCATTGCTCGACGAGAAACGCTGACGGGGATTTATTTAAATGCGTGAAACGGGCGATCGTCGGTGGCTGGAAGTTCGCCAGCTTGTAGAGGGCCTGATAAAATCGCTCGATGGATCCGGAGAGGACAATTAATCATTCGTTCCGTGTCGTCGCGCTGATTATCGAAGCTCTTTTCCCTTGGTCGCTTCTGCGCTCTCGAAAATGGCCACCGAATGTCATCAGCCGCGCACACTAACCCCCGGTGCTGATACTTTCGGACGTAACTGTTAATTTCGAGCACTCTGTTCGAAGATTTTTAGTGACTCCAAATGTTTCCCTGCGAAATTTTTATTATTTCAAAATACTAAACTATTTAATATTATTTTATTTTATTTTAAAATTCGAAACCAACGAAACCCTCTTTTTATTCGTTGAACATGATATACTTACACCGATTCCGTAATGTTCTCCAGCGAATAATGCACGTTCAAAAATAATCTTTTCAACTTTATCATCTTCAAATATTTTTTTTAATAACAGTATTTAAAATAAGGAAATAAGAGAAGCTGTGTTTCTTATACGATTAATTATTTTTAATAACGTAATACTAGTTTATGAAAATTTGTCTCTGCATTCGTTAAAGTTAATTTCGTTTCCCCGAATTTTGGATTTGAGAATTTTGAAGTGAAACATTCAGAATAAGAAAAACCTTGACTTTAACTTCAAATTATTTTAATCATTAAAATTATATATTAGTACCTATACTGCGGTGTTCTCCAACAGATAACGAATAGATTGAATTCCTCATCTTTTCGTTACGAGAAGTTCCGATAGTTTTGCGAATACGAGTTTCTATTATGCATCGTCCTCGAATTTTTCTCTTAATAGTAATATTTAAAAGATGGGCCGCGAGTTATCTCGTTCTGCACACTTGAAACGCTAAAAGACTGGCAACGAGTGTCCTCGTTTTCGGTTCGCGTTGCGGGAAATGCGCGTGGTGTCGGCCTGTAATCGTTAAATATCGCGCGATGTCCGAAGCAAATTACTTTCTCGAGGAACCGCGGGTGTTACGAACTTGCCGCTCAGAAGAACTAGTTGAGCATATCGTATTTAATTGCTCTGTACGGTTTGCTATGCTGTTAACGAATTCTTGAGGATTTTCCGCTGCTTGAATAAATAACACGACCCGTATAGACGAACATATTTTTCTACCAGTAGTGTGACACGTTTAAAAAATATTTGTAGACGTGACTCCAGTTACGAAATCCATGTTACAAGCATTATGATAGTATTACTCGACTAACAAATTCCCTGGTAAATAAATGAGAGAAAACACGGATGAATCAGCTCGGTTTCTTTTACAAACAGATTAATTCATAGTCAGTAACGCATCGTATATTTTTCTTATTTCCTTCTTCTTCTTTATTTCAATGATTACGTGTTACATAATCGGCTCTGTTACTATTTTCACTACTTGGATTGTGATGAAAAATCGTCGGAAATACAACGAATGATGAATCAAGTCGTTTTCTTCGGTTAACACGTTCATTGATACCATTCTTAGCATTCTCCGTGGTTACTTTAAACCATAGGAGAGCGTTTCCTCTCCGTTGTAATTGAAGGCTCCATATTGCCTAATAAGCTGGCATAATTATCGTTGTCATGAGAATATTGCTGTACGCGCGAGCCACTAAATATAGAAGACCGATTTTTCGAGTACTTCTCGACGTTACACGGGCCGTATTGGCGAGAGCGCGGTTCTAAAGGCGTTTCCGCAAAGGTAAAGCACGAACGGCGAAGATGCAGCAGTTATTCTCGTTTTATTTCCGACCTGTACGTCCTATTTGGCTCCGAGCGCGCGCCTCTATTTCTTGTCCATCTCTTTATCGCGTCGCGGTCATTTTTTCCGTCGATTCTGGACGAACCCAGCCACGCGACCCATTCTCACAGACGTTTCCGATCGCTCGACTCGCTCGACGTTGTTCCGCTTCGACGGAAATCAATTTTCTCAATTATTTTTCATTTAGTTCTTTTGACACCCTGTATACTTTATTCTCCTCGTTGCGCACTGCATCAAATAAAAATAACCGAAATTTAAAGTTTTCCCTGTCTGCTCCTATATTCTTCCGTGGAAAAGTTGGAACGACGAAAATCAATTCTGTTTGAAGTATTTCAAACATTGGAGCGTCATTTTCCTCACCTATTCAACTTCTCTGGATTTGAATCATACAAAGAACGAAACTAACTGGAACCCAAAACAATACGTATCGGTTCCTAAGTAATTGCCACCTAGCGAAACAAAAAACGAAAAAAATAAAGAAAAAAAGACTCTTCCAGAATGTAACCTTGATTCTCGGAATCATTCAATTCAAAACGATGCATGTAATCAAACATTTCGGATAATCGAACAGTATTATCGACACAATCGAATCTCAATTGTCCAAATCAAGAAACCAAAATGGCTCAAACAAATACACACGTGATTCGAATAATCGAACAGTAAAACGAATGAAACACGATATGTGCAGTGTACAGGATAATTGAAAGCCGCGATAATGAAGGTTTATTATTATGGTACTCATTATTCGTTGTTTGTTATGAGATAATCATGGTACTGTTTACAAACAACTTTTCAAAGGCGAACGTCTGACTTCAGTTACGCCCAGCGAAGTGAAGGAATCACCACCGACGGTGTAAATCGCTTCTGTTCTCAGGTGGGGGCAAGGCCAGCGTCATGGACCGCGTCACGAACGTGTTCTGCGGTAGCGGCGGGGTGGCGTACACGAACCTGCAGAGCGCGAACAACGCGAACGCGACCCCGGAGAAGCCGAGCAGGAGTGTACCTGCTTCGATGAGCAACAGCACGCCGATACGGGGCTGGATCCCAAGGAACCGTTCGAAGAACGTGCCTCTGGCAAGCGGCGGCACTGGCGGCTACGTCAGGCCGGTCACGTGGGAACAGCTGATGCAGGACGATCACTTCCTCAGCAAATTTTTCCTCTACTTCAACGCGATCGAGAGGAGAACTTTGGCTCAGGTGCTGCTCCAACAGAGAGAAAGGGAGACCGATTAACCCATTGCACTATAATTGCTTTGCTAGTTTGTCCTCGGTCAATTTTTCTAGTTCTGAGTATGAAGACTTATTCTTAGGTATGAAGAGATTAGTTGTAGTTGTATGAAGCTTAGGTTTGTAGTAGCGACACGATTGTTCGCGAAGAATGCGTATTGTCAGAGTACGAATGTTTGGCTGAAAAATAATGTTATAAATAGTGTTGTCACGACAGACGTGACCTCATAGTGCAGGGGGTTAATTTGTCCCGTGACCCGGCTGATTCCCGCTCGACCCGCCTATTCTTAGCGATTTCAGATCACAGCTACGCGGATGTCTGATCGGATATTTTGAAAATAAGAGCTACACGGCTAACTGAATGTCACTCAATCTGTTTTGGATGTAGAAGTCTGTGATAGAACCGCCTTTTGCTGCGCTTGGTGCAGGTCTAGGTGTAGCATAAGGTGGTTGCGGAAGAGGAACGGTGTATTTGGTTTTGAAATGCATGAGAAATTCAGTGGAATTGGTAAACATATTAGAGGAAGCTATACTTGTGCATGTCTGATTAGATATTTTAAAAATACGGGTTATAATAGAAAGGGTAAATACTTGTACAACGTGATTCGCGAATCATTGTCATCCGGATGAGGTTGGGAGTCTGAATCAAGGGGTTGGACCGAGCTTGAACATGCAATTGTTGTTTTGCAAGCGTTATCTACGGTTTAATTTATGTTAAAATATTATTTCTTATACATAGTATAATAAATTAAGTTTTCTTTTAATTTTTTTTACTGTTAAGTAGTCTTATATAAAATTTATTTATTTATTTATTTATGTGTAGTATATTACTTTTGATGTATAAATATAATGTTGCACAATATATCAATATTTTACTAACATTTTATTGAAATTATTCCTTGTGCACTGGTCTACGAGAGAATGAATTCGTGTTAACGTCTGTCCGACGGACATCAATATTATAAAAAGGAAGATGAAATTCGTATCGTGTACGATATGAGTTGCAACACGCAATTTAGTGCTGTCTAATTCTACAATATATGCACAGGGTGAGTCGTGGTTTGGCTTGAATCGTCTTGAATAAATAACGAAAGTATGCGACTCGTCACGGGCACGATGCACAATTAGAAATGGAAGGTTCTTGATTACGTCCAGATGACCCGGCTATCTTTGCCTTGCGTAAGTCTCCTTGGGAAGAAGGTAATTCCTCATGTCAGAAATAAATCATAGCAGTGAAGGAGGATTCGTTCCACGGTACGCGATGCGTCGGCGTCGACCACGATTGTTTATGACTCTGTTTATGACTCCGCTTAGCGACACTATGCAATGCTAGAGAAGTATTTGGAGTTCCTAGATAGAGTTCGCTAACGCGAGTCCTCATTATTCCTTTATGCAACTTCGACGCTTTATAAAAAGAATCAAATTATATAAAAATTATTTGTTCCTAGTTACATTGATTTTCGTTTGTTTTATTTAAATCATTCAATGGAAAAATAAAAGGTTTATATTATTCCTTACTACCGTATACAAGTACATATGTGCAGAAATGTTAAAAAGAAGATGATTGAATATATTAGTTTTATTTATATTATCTTTATATATCTTAATAGTATATAACGTACAATATAGAAAAATTGACTTGCTAAACGAATTGCAACACATTTTGTTTGTAACTTGATATTTCGGGAGGGTTAATGTTTAGAAAATATCCATTAGAAAATCCAGTTGACACGTAATACTGGAATGGTAACACTTTCTTAAAAAAGTTCTATACTTGAAAAATCGTTTAACAGTTAATGCATATATAAATACTTTGCTTTTATTATCTTAACATGTGGAATCGATTATCCGGAGATGTCTTATATTTTTAGAACCCTCTGTACAGGGAGACCTTAGTCTCTTAATGAGTAGCCAGCTGACGTTTATACTAATTCGTGCTTGCCATAAACTAATTCACGAAACTTTCGATGCAGGAAACATACAAGTTAAAAGAATACAAACTTAAATATACCACTTTCTTCATATTAAAGTATGTTTCTAAAGAAAACTAGAAAAGAGATGACTCATGTCATGAAATTTTATGAAGTTCCTACTTTACCATTCTTCAACGAGGAATTTATAAGATTCGAAAAACAAATATTAATGATCTTCGTGTACATTAACACTAACCGTACCGTGAAAATCGGTCAAATGAATGGTTTTAAAATTTCATTGAAAATTCTGCGTTTTCTTTTGTTTATTTCACTTTAAATCATTTCCTATACTGCCCGATCAATCAGTTTTTCAATTGTTGTCTTTTCTCTTGTTTCTATTTCCGCTAAGAAAACATTATCATCTAACTTATTTAACTGGTCATAATAGGAATAAGTATATACAGAGTGCCGGTACGGTTAGTGTTAACAGAAATGAATAGCATTTCTATTTTATTTCTACAACAAGTTTCCATTCTGTTTTACTCTAATTTTCAGAAAACATAATCCTTGGAAAAGGGAATTCGCATAAGGATCTGCAACGTGATCTGTTTACAGGTATGTACAAGATGGAGGGACATACTGTACGCGCGACCCCGGCTTTGGACTGGGTTGGTACCCGTCGTGAGGTGCCGCGAGGTACGCGCCATGATGCCCAGTTCGCGTACCCGCCTCTACGCTTCCCTGGTCAGAAGAGGGTTTCGTTCGTTGGTCCTTCTGGGCGCCGCGGACGAGGACATACCAGAACTGATCCACGGGTTTCCTCTTGCCCAACGGAACGTTCACTCGTTGTCCTTGAGATGCTGCGCGGTCACCGACAAGGGCCTCGAAGCTCTTTTAGATCATTTGCAAGTGAGCTTTAGAGCTAAGAAATTACACCCCATATAATCTTAATATTAGATAGTTCCATAAGTTCGTGCCACGGTGTGTTAATCCTTTGCACTTAGAAGTTTTTCACTAGAAATATTTGAACAGTTTCTGATGAGATAAAGACGATATTTTGTGAATCTAACTCGAAGAAAAATCACACGTACATTGAGGAACAAAGCTATTGTATTTCATTATTTCTCAAATTGATGCATTATACGAGGTATAATATTAAATATAAAATTATATAGTTTTACTGTATGAAATCAAGTGGTGAGTGAGAGTCACCTCTCGAGTGCAAAGAGTTAATACTTCTTGCGTTACGTTTTGTAATCACAGACCGATACGAGTTAGAACTGCTTCAGTTTAGTCAGTAAAAAGTGTTCGGGAGCGACAGGTCGTGAAGTTATGAAAATTTTATCTTTCATAAAATAATATTTTGTATGATAGAAAAATAAACGGCACTTATGGGACGACCCAATAAGAACTTGTTTTTATCACACGCATAATCATTGAAACTAAAAAAGAAACAAGATAAATGTTCGTGATTTGCAAAGTGAGATGTAAGATACTGAAAATAATGGCGACTCAAATTGTAGAGATTGTTGCTAGATCTGACCCTAACGTAATAATACTGATAATAAGGAATTAAATTGTATAGTGTTCGCTGTGCGCGTTTTGTAAGCGGATTACTCGTGAGAATCTGTTGTTTGACAGACTGATCTGTTACTTAATTTATTAATATTATTACTGATCTATATATTATGCAATGAAATAGCTGTTTTCATTTGCACTATGAAAATCTGTGTTTTCTTAAGTATTTACTCTAGAGTTACTTTTCTTCGCGAAGTTCTTATATTTCAAATGAAACTCGTTACTCTATGAAGTCTCTAACGATCTAGCAGTAATATTTTTATCGTTACTCTTTCGCGTCGCTGAACGAGAAGATCATTAGCACTCGCGAACGAATAGATGGAAGATTTTTCTAACTGTCCTTTTTATTTTTAGGCGTTGTTCGAGCTTGAATTAGCCGGTTGTAACGAGATAACGGAAGCTGGCCTGTGGACCTGCTTGACACCTAGAATAGTGTCGCTCTCCTTGTCGGATTGTATTAACGTGGCCGATGAAGCTGTCAGGGCTGTCGCTCAATTGCTGCCGAGCCTCTACGAGTTCTCGCTGCAAGCTTACCACGTCACCGACGACGCCCTCGGTTACTTTAACTCGAAACAAAGCAGCGCTCTCAGTATTCTGAGGCTCCAATCCTGCTGGGAGCTTACCAATCATGGTGTATATAATATTGGTAAGCTCTGTCAATAATATTGACATAAACGAAAGCTTCCATTCTTTTTTGGTTTTGTAATGAGATTAATTAATTTGCAAGGGTTTCTCAGTTTTTATCCTGTAAGTTTTTCTTCGCTATTTCATTAATATTAATAATAATCTATCTTCATTATACACGCATGTAATCATTGAAACTATAAAAGGAAAAGGATATGAAAAAGAGCAGTATTTATATGATTATAAATATTTAAATAATTTTAATAATTTTAACATTCATATCATGATATCGAATTTATTTTTATTCCAATACGTAATGAATTTTAGTTTTATTATTCTCTGGTTCGAGATATAACGTGGGATTAAGTAGAAATTTGATGAGATCATTGAATGTGCAACTTCTGCAAATATTGATACAATATAATAACACGTTCAAACGTTACGCAAAGAGTCACGGGAATGAAGACAATTGCATCAACGTGTTCCACCGGGATCCAGGTAGAAATACTGTGATGAAGATAGCGTGAAATTAAGTCAGGTGTCACATGCATTCGGTCATTACAAATTTAGAATTAAGGAAGACAGCTTTATTTAGCTTTCTAGCTGTCAGCAATACTTCAGACTCAATTTCCTGGGCATGTGGGTGGTCAATGACCGGTTACCGTTATTTATACAATGAAAAGATTTTCTTGAAATTCGATATACGTAAATACAAATTTGTCTTCAAAACACTGTTCAAGACATTACAGGCTTATAACTAGATTTCGAATTATATCACACTTATATTTTTACAAACTCACTTTTTCTAGTCAAGATTTTATTACGTTAACAGTTGGAACGTTGGCACCAGTCCCTGTCAAAGATCCATAGAATGTAAACCATCTTATTAACAACACGAAAAGTATGTAATTTAATATTGATTATTATTCTTGTTATTCTAATCTTCTTCAACATATCTGCATCCTATTTTTAGCTTCAGCCCGAAAGATGTGTCAGTCACGCATGACTGGCACAGCATAGTATTCAAATAAAAATAGGAGTCTTATCAAATTTTATTCCATCCCACGTAATTTCTTCGCGAGAGAAATGCATAAAATCCAAAACGCATCCTATAGTGATTAAATTGGATAACCCAGATATCTAAATTAATTTGTTTTTATTTTAAAGGAAACCCATCTAGTTATAGGTTTTTGGCACAGATTTTTGTTAATATCTTTGTATTTGAAATTAAAAAATGATACGAAAAAAATGATGGTTAAGTTAAAATAATAATAGAGAATGCAAATATTACTTAATAATAGTAAGAAGGATCAAAGCTCGATTCCATTTATCTTTTCCAGTGCATTTCTTGCCGAATCTGACAGTGTTGTCGCTGTCAGGGTGCAGCAAAGTGACAGACGACGGTGTTGAGTTGATCGCAGAGAACTTGCCAAGACTTCGTTCCTTAGATCTGAGTTGGTGCTCAAGGATTACTGACGCAGCCTTAGAATATATTGCCTGTGATTTGAATCACTTGGAGGAGCTTACGTTGGACAGGTAAGAACGGATCAAGGGACATCGTTGTACATACTTTGCCATAACCACAAACAACCAACTTGATCAAGAAAATCTATGTTGTCTTTATCCTTTTCTATATGGAAAACAATGTATCTTTTTTGCCAGATTATTAATTCTCTTCCTCCGAATTAATAATCTTCATCTACTCCTGTGTGATTCATCATAGCACAACACTTGTTGCTGTTCAACTTCTTCAAAGTTTAAGAATTTCCGAAACCGCTGCAAATATTCGAGTGATTCTTAGAGAAGATTCTACACGGCTCGAAGAAGGCAATTTTAATCTTCACGATTCAAAATTTTCATTTAACCTTTTAACTAGATATTTTCCGAATGACTCGAGATAAATGCAATTAATACAATGCACACTGGACAACCACACACTTCAATATTGCGTGGTTCGTACTAGTACAATACAAACATTGCGGATTAATGGAGCACGACTATTTATCGAATGGACACGAAAACGAAAAGCTATTAACGTGTTAACTTAGTATTCTCAGTTAAAAGGTTAAAAGCATTAAAAATCTGATAACATAATTCTGTTAATATAGAGAAAGATTATCAAATAACATTTCATGCAATGGTATTGTGAACGAAATTTCTGCCAAGAACACGCGGTTCGTGGGAATCCCGGAAGAGAATTGTGCACGTTCGAATCTAACAACAGGAATGTCCCGTCAGCCTGACAAATCGCTCAGGAAAGGTGGCTTAGTCATAACAGTAGATAGCGTACGTGCAATCCGCTCGATCGCTTTATTCATAGTCGAATTACCACGCCCGCTAACGAGCATTCTATTTAAGATCGGCCATTACGCAATAAGTGATTCACCTATCGAGCCACCTCGAGACATCTAAGAAGGCAGACTTATAATCTGCTTAGGCGACCGATTGAGTCGCTCGACACGTTGTTATTCGTATTGGAAACCGTCCTGATCAGTCGACATGCCGGCCGTGTGACACATTGTCTTCGGACATCCATGCCAATTTGTCTGGGAGTCAGACGTTAATGAAGCTATGCCCGCGAAACGATTAGCAAACGCGTGACAAGACGAAGATAGGAATTTAAGAGTCCAATTTTCTACGTAGTTCTGCCGAAGCTATCGCTCCTCTTCGAGAAGATGAATTGAGGCCTAAATATTAGAACAGTTGGAAACTGAGAGCATTAGGGAATTAGAGAGATCTTAGAGAAGTGAAGTGGAAATTGAAATGTAGATACTGGGGAATTTAGCATAATTGAAATTGATGATTGGCAGTTGAACATTGTCTCTTGAGGAGAAGCAATTGGTAATTAATTTAGAGAAAAGATATATTGGTATTGAAATATTTGCCAACTGTAAATAACCGAATAAATAAAAAAATCGTTAGGATATACAAAAAACAATAACCATTTCGAAAATTAAGGAATAGTATTTCGAATTCAAACCACAAACAGTCAATTAGCAAATTAAGGAAAAAACATAGCTAAGAATACATAAATAAGTGAATATAGTTTTAAGATTTTTTTTTGTTATCTGCGTAGGTGTGTACACATCACGGACATAGGCGTGGGCTACATCTCCACAATGGGATCACTGAGCGCATTGTTCTTGAGATGGTGCTCGGAACTTAAAGACTTGAGTCTTAAACACTTGTGCAGCATGAAATCCTTACAAGTACTCTCCTTGGCGGGTAAGGCTTGTCCTATATGTTGATCAAAGTTTAAAACTTCGCACAAAAGAAATACAGGACGTGACCGAGGCAACAAGGTGATCCTAGCGTAAAAATAAATCGAAAATATAGAAAAATGTTCTTTTTTCTTTCAAACGAAACTGCGGTTACAAACGAAACAAATGTGAATATTGATCGAACACGTGTGACGTCAAATCAAGCTTGAATAGCCCGTCTGACTAACACTTGCGATTTCTACTTATCACATATTTAACATAAATAGTGTTTCACATTTTGTTATGTAATTCAATTTCTATTTTATGCATTTGGTTAATTTATCTTTTGTTTTAGCGTTTATCTTTTCAGGGTGAAACTTCGAATAAAATTTTAGTGGAAATTGAATTTCGAATAAATTTATCTTTTCAGGTTGCCCATTGCTCACGAGCGGCGAACTGTCTAGGTTGATACAACTCCGACATTTGCACGAGCTCGAACTAACCAACTGTCCAGGAACGTCTCAGGAATTATTCAACTATTTACGTGAACATCTGCCGCGCTGCTTAATCATCGAATAAACCGTTCATGATCGATGAGTGCAGGAAATGCCTCCGAACAGAAATTTCTTTCGCGTGTCGACAACACGCGACGCCGCGATCGAGAACACAGAACGGCGGTGTTTGTGTTCCTTAAAATGAACGAGAATGAACAGGTGAGAGAGATAAGAGGGAGAAGAGAATGTTTCACGTAAAGCAATACTTAGAAAGACAATGGTTAACGATGACTGAAAGGAGCTGCATCCATAAAAAAAATAGAGAAAAGCAATTGACGTCCAAACGCAAACTAAATACCGTGTTTTGTTTCTCTTGTATAACGATCTATAAACGAGAAAAAAGAGAAGAAAACGAGAAAGACAAAAAAAAATTGAGAAACACACTAGCCCTTAAACGTGTAAAGTAACGATGGCGATACTAAATAGCGCATATAGGCATTTTTAATACACCGAAGCTCCTGTATGAATCGCACCCCCTTTTGTTCACGCTAGACTCTTCGATTGTGGCCGGTACACGGTGGACTGAAACATGAAGAAACGCGATAGCGTTGCAAAACCGTTTTCTGGTCCTTTGTTGTGATACGTTAAAACCCTCAAAAGAAACCGATAACGTTGTTGTTCTTAGATGATTTTTTTATTTTTCACCGCTCGAAACTACGTAAGAACTTGAAGACATGTCGTTAGTCTCTTCTGAAAACAATCTTGCACCTAACTACAATAACGAATTTTCAATCAGAAATTACGCGATGAACCCTTTAAAAAATTTGTCGTACTTTTTCGTGTTTTGACCCGCTATGTCGTCACGTTTATATTTTTTCGAAGGATCGAAAGAATACAAAGAAAATGGGATAGAAGAGAACGTGTACAATCGATAAAATCGTTCAGAGTTTCACGCGTCGCTTGATGATAGAGAAAACAAAAAAGAGACAGTTAACCTCAGTAGGTTCTTGTTAAAGAACATAGAAAAAAAGTCCGATGAGACGACACGTCAGACTCAAACAGTTAGAACTTGAAATTTTTATTGTACGTGTACTATTTTACTCCGAATGTGTTTAGACTGTTGTTCATCCTGCTTGTAAGGCCATTCAAAGACAGCAATTCTAAAGCATTAGTCGCGGTGCATGAAGACGATATAAAAAAGAAAGATTAATCGAGCTACCTAGAAAATGAGAGTTTCACCAGCGAAAAGAATAAAAAGCGCAAAAAACATTCCGATGAGTCTTATAACGGAGATTTTTATTTATTTACGAGATACTATTCGCGTGATATTCGACGACACGTGTTGCTGCAGTATAAAACAACCGAATGATCATTGCACATGTATCTATCATCTAGAAATGTTTTAAGTTGTATTTTATCTATGTATATTCCACTGTCATGTAATTAATGTCTCCTAAATTTAAGGCTTACACCTAGCTAAGTTCTCGAATGTTTTTCATTCAATGTAACGATATATCGCAATATAGAAAACATATTTTATGTGTTTAATACTGTTAAACAATTTTGACGGTTACTTAAAGACAAAACAAAAAATATACGAATGTGTCATACTATGCTCCATCAATACGTAATGATGTGAAAGATTTTATGCCACTGTTGCAGTCGAACGACTACAAACTATGCAATGTTCTTTATGTTGAGACTTATACTACCGAATACCTTCTGTGTGATGTTTAGCATGACCTCAAATTTGACCGAACTGAAATTATTTTTGCGTGTTACCACATATTTAGCACACAACGTCTTTGTATATATTGTACAAATAATAATTAATAATTCTGTTACCAATGAAAACTAAATATAAATATATCCGCACAGTCAAAATTCTATCTGAAATCGGGTCGCGCGTGGCGCCAGTCACGAATATAACTTTAAAACGTGATAACATGATGGAATGTGCTGTGAAATAAAAATTTATTGATCCAAATTTATTTTTGCACTATTAGGTATTCTCCCACCATGTAAGTAACCCAAGTCCTGGCTCGTCAATGGCTCCCTACAATAAGACACAGACGATAGTGATAAAATTACTTTAACTGTTTAGGGTTTATACATTTCAATTAATGTTTGAGTAATTATTAATTATACATACCCCCAAAATATATGGAGATATATTTTTAGCTTCTGATTTTTCTGCTGATTCTCCGGATACATTTGGTCCAGTAGGTAAAGCTTCTGTGAAAGTTTCACTTACTACCCTAAATCGTATAATTTCTCCTAAAATATTTGAATTATTATTTTATATCTTACACTTAATATATTCTATACTTATATTGATTAGTTTTAGATACAAATTAATATACCTGCATCCATAAAAAGATCATGTTTTTCACCATCCCCTGTATCATATTCCCATACCCATGCTTGTTCCATTTGATCAAACCTCGATGGATGTTGTAGTTTGTGAGGTGGAATTACAATATCTTCAAAAAATCCTAACGTTACTGCAAAAAGGTATGACTGTTTTTGTTGTCCTTGAAGTGATCTAATCATTCATGTGAGATAGTAAGAAAAACAACAAGTACCATGGACACCATCAACACTACAGCTACGTATCTTCCCTATTAAAATTTCTTCCATAAATGGGCGGAACACAATAAAACGAAATATTACTTTAGTATGAGATGCTCCATCCCCAGGAAAGATATATGATTCCTCAATTTTTGTGATATCATGAAGAGCAATACAAAGACCCACATTGAGATAAACCTAAAATAGACACTTAAAACTTGATCTCAACCTTTATCACAGGTAAAATTATTTAAATCATAGTATCTTTTACCTTATTGGCAAGTTTTCTATTAAGTTCATCAGTAATCGCATCGTTTAATTTCCGTTTAAACTCCCACGGTGGAATCCTAACTGTGTCTTTCAATTCAGCAAGAACAAACATTTTCACGGTATAACCTCATAAAATGTCTTAATGTTTAGATAATAAATAATTGCCGTCATTTAAATTTATTGCAATAACATTCATCCTTTTTTCTTCGGTAAGTATATAGAACTACACTTTTCTTCAATGGGTTTATTTTTCTTAAACCACGCGAATCTCCATGTCGCGGGAATTAAGTAAGACTGCATTTGTGTCAACATAACCATAAATGCACGTGCATTAAGATAACACTGCTAAACGGAAAGTAAAAACAAACTCAAAGTTTCTTTACTGTAATTGCGAGGATATTTGGAACAAAAAGTTTAACAAAAATCTGATATTAAAAGTTTGTAATGTAATTAAGTGAAAGTTATTCGAAAAATCAGTTCTGAAAATTATTTAAGTAAATACCTGCTTGACAGCATGGATATTGTACAATCAATTTTGGAGAATGAAACACAGGAGAAGGATTTACGCAAATCCATCGAAGTGAATAAAGATATAGAAGTTGAAATAGATGCAGGATCTCTTTTAGCATTTGATTACAATACTCTCAACATAAAAGCACTGAAGTAACCTAACCATGTTTTTTATAATGCCAATACACATTAATTTACCTGTAGCTCGTTTGATTAATTATTTATTGTTTTAAAGGTCTGGGCAAGAAAAATATTTAACAAGCTTAACTAGGGATAATGTGCAAATATTAATTAATAAAATTTGGGAACTTCCAATAGAACGTGTAGAAGAAACAATAGTAGCAAAATTACCAAAACCTGAGTATGTATTGCCTCGATCCAGACAAATACCAAAACCTAAACCGTTAACAAAATGGCAACAGTATGCTAAAGAGAAGGGTATCAAGTCTAAAAAGAAAGATAAATCAAAACTTAAGTGGGACACTGAGTTGCAGGTAACATTAATTATAATAGTCAGTTATATTTTTTCTTATAAATGCATATAATAATTTAATATCTTTATAGAAATGGATACCTACATTTGGTTACAAACGTAGTAAAGCTGAGGAACAGAAAGAATGGTTGGTTGAAATTAACGATGATAATAAGGTCATAGAAGATCCATTTGCAGCAGCAAAGGCAGCAAAAGGAGAAAGACAATCAAAGAATGAATTACAAAGATTGCGTAACATTGCTAAAGCAAAGAATATTAAAATTCCACAAGTGGGTCTTCCTACCAAAGAGCATTTCCCTGATTCACAACAATTATCTCAAGCTATTACTGTTGCTCGAACATCAACAGCATCTGTTGGCAAATTCCAAAACAGGTATATTTATTGCAGTATCCGTAATAGAATACACAAATAAGACTTGAAAATTAATGCACATTATTCTCAGGTTACCAAAAGAAAAGGATGCTAAAGGTATTGCAAAACAGGTACCTGGAATGAAACGAAAGGCAGAAAAAGCACCAGAAAATATGCAAGATGAAAAGAGACGCAATAAAGATTTAGCAGAGAACATTCTTAAAAACAACACTAAAGTTTTCCGTGAGGACTTCTCTGTACCAAAGTAAGTTCTTGGGAAATCAACATTTTGATCTAAATATTACAATTTCGACCTGATACGAACATTTTTCATTTGCAGAGTACAACTAGCTAAGCCGAAGGCGAAAAAAGGCAAGAAAGGCGTGAAAGACAGGGGCGCGAAGAAACCAAAAGGAGGAAAAGGGAAGCGAGATATGCGACTTAAAGTGGGGGGTAGAAAACGAAGATGAAATGTTTAAAGGTCCAATCTCGTTGTTTGTTTGCCCCGCCGTAATTACATAAAGTTTTGCCAACAATCAATTGAAATAAATAATAGTAAAAGAACGTTGTATCTGATTTCTTGGGGTGTAAAATAAAATTCAAAGAGTCGATTACCTATCGACATTACCAATTAAGTTTTGTATGAATGGAATTAAATATTCACAGGGGCGTTGCGAGTCGATAAGGCAGGTTGTCCTTTAGCCGGAGAATCAGGGTGACGGGAGAAAGGTGAAAGGTCAAAAGCAGTACGGGATATCGACTCGTGGAAGTCGAGAGGGCGAGGTAACCTGGCCGCGGGTACGAGGGAGGGCAAGTGCGAAAGCGGGTTGCCCTAGAATCTGTAAGGGGTTCCACCCCACGTGTGATTTTATACGTGCCGTGTACGTGTACACGTTCAATGCCATCCGAACGGAACAAGAACGCGTTCGGACACGTTTTCACGATATGCATGCCCGTTGGAAACGACGAGTGCGTTCGTTTTCCGTTAATGTTACTTAATTTCGAACGATGTATAGCCGCATCGCGATTTGAATTATTCAGACATCCGATGTTCGATCCTATCTTTCGCCTGTATCTATCAATCGCGTACGATTTCCGCGACTCATGAATATTATTGAATATTATATATCGTCGCGTATAAAATAAGGACAGAGGGCGGGGAGGCGACACTGTACGTAACATTTCGGATCGGAAGTGCATTATCCTACTTACGTGTCCTATTTGACCATCAAACTGTTAAGCTTCGACCAACGATACAGTTCACGATCTACTTTAAAAAATAACCTTTAACCTATTCCTTTTACAGTAGTGAGTTGACGAAATTTGAATTTCTCTGCATTTTCTTCATTACAGAATTTTTCTGTAGAATTCTGTTCTAAAATTGGTTTTTTATTATCTTATTTACAAATTAAGAAATGCATGAAAATGAATGAATGAATTAAGAAGTATTAAGTTCAGTGTAAAAATCGAGCATAAATAAATACGGTTGATATCGTAAACAAAAATGTAGTGACTGAAATGCAGGATATCGCAAATGTAAATTTTACCGTACAAAAAAATGTGTTGAGCACTCGTTTCACTGTTGAAACTGCTTTCCACTGTAAAGCTGATCGATACGGTTCAAAGTTACGATTTAGTTAAGAATGGAAACGAAATAGAACGGACGTCGATTGTGCGTGACTGATTGTAGTACAAGCCGTTGCTAATATCGAACGTTAGTAGATCTATATGGAAGGAAACAGAAAGAAAAAAAGAAACTTTGCATTTTAAAAATATTTCCTCCAATTTATGGATAGATAAAATATAATTGCCGTTTATAAAAAGCGCTTCCATATGATATAGTAATAGCACTCAATAAAGTCGGACAAAAATTGCATATGGCGACTGTATCCAAGAAGTAGTACTTGCAGATATATCAGACAATGGTCAGGCATTGTAAAAGGCCTGCCTTCTAAGTAGTATTAACAAGCGATGTACCAGACAAAGGTTGCCTATTATAAGGCGCCCGCCTCCAAGTAGTAGCAGCAAGTGATATACCAGACTGGGGTTGCCTAAAATAGGGGCTAGCTTCAAAGTAGTAGTAGCAGCTGATATGTCAAACGTCAGTCTACATAAAGGACTTGCAAGTTATTAATAACAATATTTTTCCATCTTAGTAGAAAGTACTTTGAAAAACAATTTTTCAAGTACTAACACTCGATGCAAATATATATTGCAAAACATATTGATGAATAAAAATTTTTTCAGTACGTATTTCATTTTAAACCGTACCTACACTTTCAAAAACAAAATACCTTATTCGTTCGCAACAAGTTTACAAAATCATATCAAACTACCTCTTTCCTACTATCATTAATAAATACTAAATTATTTAATCACAATTTTATTCAATTTTATTCTAACCGCGCAAAATCTAATATTTTAAAGAGCATTCGAAACATTTCCCAGTACGCTTTACTCGGTTACGTGGACAACAGAAGTTCCACCTTCGTGTGCGTTACAGCTCAGCGGTGTTCAAACTTTCCTCGACGCGACCCACCGTAAGAATCACACTTTCTAGTTACGAGTCAGTGCATAAGGAATAAGTCGAAGACACGAGCTTCCTACGAATCATTGTAACCTCCAAACTGTCCCAATGTACATAATCCAAAAGATCCTCTGCGTTCATGTTCCGTTCGACAATGACCTATTTGATTCTACGTTCCGCGATCCGCCCGAAGGCTGGCAACCCGCGGTTCGCGAAACCCTGTTATAGCGTGTCGCGTCCGCGGTAGTATGTGCGCTCACTTTTGCCAACCGCTGTACGTGTAATCGAGCGACGTAGCGCGCGTGCGGGGGCATCATGGAAAGGGTGGAGGAGGAGGCTCGGCAAGCCGTCGGGCAGAGGTAACGGGCGCGCGCGGTCGGCGGCGGTGCTCAGTCGGTGGTTGCTCGGGTAGAAACGGGCGCGTCCACGAAGGTGTGCGGGAAAGGCGATGGAGGCTGCGTTAATCGCGACGAGCGAGTGATACGCGGCGGTCTGCACACGGGGATCGTGTCCTGGATTCGCGTAGCGGCCCCGCGTGTCCCCATCGCGCGCGCGCCCTCCCCCCGCCGCCGCCACCGGCCCCTATCACCATCCGTGAGCAATCCGCGTGTGTATGTGCGTGAACGTAGTGTCCTACTGTTCGGTGTTAAACTGGTGTGTGTGCGCACGGCTGCTGGTCCCCTGCACACGGTGACCCGTCGTGTGCGGCCGTCGTGATCTCTCCGCGGCAGGCGGTGAAGAGAAAAACGATAAGGGAAGAAGAGAGAAGGAGAGGGACGAAGAAAAAAGATTAGCGAGAAGGAACTGGAAAAAGGAGAAAGGGGACGGACAGAGGGAACAAGTGCGACGACGACGACGCGTAAGGACAAACCGGGAAGGCGCAACGAAAAAATGGAAAAAATGTCGTCCACGTCGTAGTCGAACCGAGAGGGGATTGGAGAGAAAGAGAGAGGCAGGTCGAACACGGTGCATTGGTTTACCCCCCGAGTCGTTGGTACGCGCAGCATTTTGGTGTTGGCTGGCTCTGACTTGATTGACGCCTGCTTTGCTATTGCTGTCGCTGCCGCCGCCGTCGAAACGCCGCCGACGTTGCTGCAGCAGTTGCTAGCGATGCGAAATGAGCGAGAAAAAGAGGGATCGTATGCGTGTGTGTATGCTTGCGCGCGTGTACGTGTCTCTGTGTTGCGTTTGGAAGCGATGGAGAGAGTGAGGTAGGATGAAAGTGGGAGAGAAAGAATGGTGTGTAGCCTTCATTGTTTCTCGTCGTCGTCGTCTTCGTCGTCGTCGTTGGTCCTCGTCGTTATCATATGAACCGCTCTCTCTCTCTATCGACACGCGTCTTTTCGCAGCGCGGACAAAGAGAGAGAAAAAAAGCAAAAAAAAAGATAATAGTGAAAAGAGGGAAAACAATAGATGTGACGTGCCCGCCGGCCACCAGTCAGCCTTTTATTTTCTTTTGTTAC